GGGGGGTTCTCCGCGCTGCCGGCCATGCGGGTGACGATGTCGCCCAGCAGGCCGCCGATGCCGAGGGCGCGGTACTCCTGGCTCTCGCGGTAGCCGGAGAACCACTCCTCGACGGCGATGTCCTCGATGATCTGGCGAGCGCGCGGGTCGTAGAACTCCTTGGGCAGCCTGGTGTCCGGGCCGTGGGCGTCGGTGGCGTTGATGGTGTCCATGATGCCACTGAGGCGGGGATGGGAGTCGACGGCGACCCTGGGGCTGTCCTCGGGCATCCAGCGGCCGATCTTCTTGGTCAGGTAGGCCATCTCGTCCGAGCCGTTCCAGCGGTCGGCGGTGCGCTGGGCGAAGGCGCGGGAGAGGGCGGCGAAGCGGCGGCAGTTGCTGTCATTGGGGAAGAGGGTCTCCTCGCCCGGGGCGCGGCCGACGATGGTGAGGGGCGGCAGGTCGGGCGAGCGAGTGTGGGAGGGGTACAGGCCGTGGATGGTCTGCTGGAGGGACTCGAGGGCGCGCGGTATGGGCGTCGTGCGGAAGTAGAAGGACTCGGAGGAGGTGAGGTTGGGCGGCAGGAAGCCGAGGCGGTCGATGTAGAGGTGGCGCAGGCGCCTGCCGAGGGCGGTGGTGGTGCTGCGGCCCAGGTCGGTGAGCATGCCCATGTCGCAGACGGCGTCTAGGTCGCCGCTGGGGCCGGCGGCGAAGACGGGGAGGTCATTGGGGCCGAAGGCCTCGAGGCGGCGCTTCCACTCGAGGGAGGAAAACTTGCCCGAGTCGTCCTCGAGGATGGCGCTCCGCAGGTGGCGCGCGGCGTTGCAGTACGACCAGTATGCAGGCAGGCCAGTGTTGGTGAAACGAGGGGTGACCGGCGTGCGTTCGCCATGGCGGAGGAGAATCTGGACCAGCTGGAGCTGGAGCTGGGGAGGGTAGAGCTCCGCGAGCTCGGCGTCCGTGTACGGAGGCCTTGGCTGGAGAGTTGTCATTCTCTGATGGGGAGGAGGTGATGACCAGGCCTGGAAGAAGGGGGGGGAGGAGGGAGAGATGGACCCGGGGAGGTTGAGGTGTTTGGGGATCTAAGGGTTGACGAGACGGAATGAAGCAGACGGGATGAAGCTAGACCGATGCAACCCAGACCAGACCAATTGCGAAGCCAAGGGACGGGCCAGAGGTTGTGGCATCAACATGTGAGCTCCGACTTTCGTCATTGGTGGTTGAGTCCGGACATGGCAGTTGTTGAGGTTGGGGCGGAGGTACATGCTGCCACTGCAACGGGGATATGTGGCCCGAGGTACCTGCCAAACCTTCTCCCACTTGCGGGAGGGCTACTGGATTGCGGGGGCCCCACCGAGACCGGACATGAATAGGTACCTAGGTAATAAGGCATTGATGCTTTCGCGCCTAAGCCATTACCGATCATCAGGTGGCATCTGCGGTCGAGGCATGTTCGTGTGAATGCGAGGGTGAGAGAGTGCGAGAGTGTGTGCGTCCACCCGTTGGTATCGGGCCTGGAGGTTTGCACCACACGCCGTTGCCAGCGGCTTCTTCTGAGCCGAGTTTCGGCAGCTTTGAGGACGAGATTGGGCAGCTGAATACGCCGTACGCCAGAACGGGAGCGCAGGGGTCCAGAAGCGGCCCTATCTAAATTATAAGGCACGGCGGTATTACAGGTTCGTCCATGTGGCAGCGGACGAGGTGACCGGAAAATCCAGTTTGGCTTCTGACGCTGATCTAATATTCTCCAATGGGGAAAAAATGGCAATGGACGCCAGCGTGATTGGCTGTTAGCAGATGTACGGTCATCCTTCGCTCATGGTCAGCTACACACAACATTGCGCTACGAGCTTTGGTTCCCTGGACTAGTCGAATCAGCGAGAGTCCGTTCCCAGGGCCAACCAGGGACTTCAGCGCACCAACAGCATGGACGCTCACAGGCCGTTTCCAGCACAATACGGCGGGCTGAAGACGCTGGGACCCAATCACAGCAGCCAACTGCCGTCGTTCTGGTGTTGGCCCGTCATCTCGGGACATGTGCTTAGTGAGTGGCGCGGGCTTCTGGAATCGCCCGTGCAGCGTCCGTCGTCCAGGTTCAGGCGGTTGGTTGGCCAGATCCAGCACACCGTAATACCATCCAATCTATCATGCCACGATGTCACCCCCCCTGGCGGCGCAATAAATAGAACCGTTCCTTGCAGCACCTGCGCACACACTATGATTATTACGATAATAATAGCAAATAAGCAAGCCGTCTCAACACTCTGGTTGAGATAGGAACACCCGCAATGAATCGCATCGCCTAGGTAGGTAGGTATATTAGATGACGTCTTCCCCATCAGGAGAAATCAGAGTTTGCCTTTTGCTCTTTTCCCCAATTACTTCATCACTCGTGCAGATCCGCCGTTCTGTGCCTCGCGCCTAACCCGATCCAAAGACCGATTGGCTTCCATGAACACACCACACGGCCTGCTTACTTGCCTGCACCGACTCGCTCGCCGCGCTTGACATCACCGGTTCAAGCGCCTTTCAAGAGGCTGGATATTGCCCATTGGTGGTTGCCCCTTCCAGTAATGCTGCGCACACAAATCCCGAAAAGGACACTACATACCGCCAGCTGAGAACTGCCTTATCCAAATTGGACTCATTCCCGTGAGGCGCCCACTTTCGGCTGGCCTCCGCAGCTTCCGTCGACTGTCGCTACCTCTTTAACCCTGCATTCTTGAACCATTTCTCTTCCTCTCATTCACAAACGAAACCAGAGCTTGATCACATTACTTTCACTGTCTATGAGCAGCATCAAAGAATGAATGCTGCTGTTGCGACCCAGCCTGCAGGCCAAGCGCCGCTCGATCTGGGCATCACTCTACCACTCGGCTCAGCCGGCCCCGATGATGAGTGCCGGATTGTGCTAGAAGACGAGTATGACGACGACGACGATGAGGCCAATTTGCAGGAGAGTGATGAGATTGAAGACCAGGATGGGGCCCAGGCAGTCCTCCAGCCGGCCATGAGTGCCACAGCGAGCCATCTGGCTTCGCCTCGCACGCCGGCAGTAGAGAAGGCAGCGGCACTGGAGAAATGGCCCGGTGGCGTATTAGGGATGACACCGCCCATCGAGGATGACAGCGGAGACAATGACGATGGCACCACGGTCGGGGATCCCAACTCGCCCATAGCAGCGAGCCTTGGCAGTCTTGTGAAAGCCCCGCCTCTCTGTGAGTCTCCTGAGCCGACAAGCCCTGCTCAGTTTGATGGACCGGCCTTGGAGACCCAAGTGCCCGAGACGAAACCTGGAAGTGAGCCAGCTAAAACCACTCCTGTACCTACTTCGTCGGAGGCCACGCCAAACGACGTCTCAGGGCCGAATGATGGTTTCGACAAACCTATCAATCGCCCTCGTCGGCGGCAGTCAACTCGGTCACGGCATAGCATAGCTATTCTGGACTCAGCCTTTACGCACTCGAGAGAACGCTCCCGCTCTGCAGGACAAGATGCTCTGAGGAGACTACAGAAGGCCTTTCCATCTCTCAGCTCGCCCAGCCATCTCCTCCCGTCACTTCCGTCAAACTTCTTCTCCGCCTTTGGCGAAAAGACCCCTACAACCGCCACGGCACCAAAACAACCACCCCAACGGCCAGTGCATTCGCCCATCCCTGAGCATCCATCAGACAACCGGCTCGATGGACAAGTTCAGTCCTCTTTCTCCCCGCGGCCCGATTCAATTAGGCGCTCTAACTCCATCCGGTCACCCCGGATTTCCACACAATCCCGGCCGGGTGTGCTGCGCCGAGTCACATCCGACGACAGCCTTTTGTACCATACTCTGTCCCGTACTTCTTCGCTTGGTAACGACGAGCAGTTTCATGATGTACGGGATATGGTCAACATGCGGTTCCAGGCCATCAAGGAGAGCCTGCCAGAGGTTCCCAACTTTAAAATGCCCAGTCTTGCGAAGCTCCACACACCATCTTTCATTTCCTTGAACTCGATGGATATGCGTTCTCAGGAAACGCCAACATTTGCACCTGCCAACCGCTCACCCAAACTTAACGTGGGAAGTGGCAGTAGCAAGGACGGTCCAGCCACTCTGGATGATGTGCTGGCAGACCTGACAGGTGACATTGTCATCATGGGCGGGCTTCGGGGCTCGGTGCTTCGGTCGGCCAAACCCCCCCATCAACAAGTCTGGGCTCCCGTCAAGATTGGACTCAATATGCGGAAAGTGAACTTGGAAATTGGATTGGACGATGAGGCTGAGGAGAGAATGGAGGAGACCATCATTCCTTCAGGCATGCTCTCGCACATGGGGCCTGTGGACATGTCACGAAAACTCTTCAGAAAGCTAAGGTCATGTAATAATGTGCGCAATGGTACTCTGCGAGTCTGGGATTATGGTTATGATTGGAGGCTCAGCCCACATATCCTTTCCCGCAAGCTTCAGGAGTTCTTGGCAAAACTGCCTTCCAACAAACCCGGTACTCCTCCCGAATCGCGGGGCGCCCTTCTCATTGCACACAGCATGGGTGGGCTCATTGCACGACACGCCGTGAACCAACAGCCAAACCTCTTCTCCGGTGTCATGTTTGCCGGCACACCCCAGCGCTGTATCAATATCCTCGGTCCTATCCGCAACGGCGACGTCATTCTGTTCAATGAAAAGCTCCTCTCAGCTCAGGTCAACTTCACCATCCGCTCCTATTACGTGTTCCTTCCTGAAGATGGCTCCTGCTTTGTCGACAAAAACACTGGAGAGTCATATCCAGTGGACTTTTACAACCCACAAGAATGGATCAAATGGCACCTTTGTCCTAGTGTGCAGCCACCTCTACCCCCATTCAATCAACAGATTGGGCCATCCTCGAGCACGTCATCGTTCACCTCGTTCCTGCCCACGTCTTTGAGGGCACGCGCAGAAAGTTTATCAGAGAAGCGCTTCAGCATGAACTTTGATTCGATCCAAGGGACGGTCAAGGATCGCACGATCGCGCCACAGATGCAATCCGCCGAGCCGTCAACTAAACAAGCCTCGAATACTACATCCACTGGGGACGTCGCGCCAGCGTTATCCGACCCGGAACTCAAGCGCAATATGGAATATTTGACCCGCACATTGGCACGGACCAAGAAATTCCGCTCAGAATTGGCACATTCTAGCGAGCACCAAGCTGCTAACGCATACCCACCTCTTGGCGTCCTATACGGAAAGACAACACCTACCGTTTACGCGGCACAGGTCAATGGAAGAGAGGCAATTCGACATTCAGATGCGTATGACGACCTTCTCTTCCGCCCTGGCGATGGTGTCGTGCTGGCCAAGGAGGCTATGCTACCCGAAGGCTACTCCATCGTCAAAGGTGGGAGGGTATCCACGGAGCGTGGGCATATCACGATGTTGGGCGATCTCGGAGCAGTTGGACAAGTTTTGGCTGCAATCGTCAAGGGAAGAAGAAAGGGCATAGGCTATGGCAAAAAGAAGTCGGAGTAAACATATAAAGGAAGGCGGCGGGGAGTTCTTACGGGGAGTCCAATTATCATTTTGAGCGGTATGGATGGCGTTGTTGTTTCTGTTTAAGGAGTAGATGGGTGTACATGACGATGATGATCAACGCGGTGATGATACTGAAGAGCTTATGATTGCATACTAGGGGTTTTACTTTCTTCATCAACATACATTTTATAGAGTTCAGCTTTCTCTTCTTTTGGAATATATTAAGGCGTCTCTTTGAAGAGTCACGCTTCCATGAATACATAAATACATGATGAGTACAAGAATCCGGGATTCATATGCAGCAAAAAATTCAGTCAAACAGGCTAATAAGGGCAACTGGAACTCCGGCTAAGAATAACCCATAAAAAAAAGCAATCGGATACTGCAAGATCAGTAATGTACGCTTCCATATATGTGACAGGCCCAGGCTAACCAAACCCTTTTCGCTCAAACGCCAAACGATGTTCTCTAACCTCCCTTTTCTTTTTGTTTTGGTATAGGAATTTTTTGATTTTGATTTTTTTCTTTCTTGTCGAGACTTTAAGTGCCTCGAGCATCCGTCCTCCCGATAAGGTACGGGAGGGAGTATAGGTCCCAAACATGTACTCAATGCTTGTGTGATAACCTTTAGGGGGGTTGTGTGCCCAGCCCACGCTTCCCAGGTGAGCTGCTCGGCATGTAAATCAGGCTCGCGGCTCAGTAGCAGACGAGGCTCGGGGCTTGACCGGGAGCCGGCTCGGCCAGCGGACCCGGGAGGATCTTCCAGCAGGGCGGGGCCCAGGGCTCGGAGCCGGAGGAGGCGAGCTGGTCGGAGAGGTCGCGGATGGCGGTCTGGACCTGGCAGGCGAGGGTGTCGCAGACGAGGAGGGGGTCGTCGGCGGCGCGCCAGGCGGGGGCGTGGGGCACGAAGAAGATCTCCTCGAGGTTGGGCATGCGGCGGCGGAGCTGGCGGAGGCAGTCGGCGGTGAGGGAGACGGCGAGGGAGGAGTGGTAGAGGGAAGAGGAGGCGGGGTCCGATGATGATGAGGAAGAGGGGGGCTGCAGAACCTGGAAGAGGGCGTCGTCGATGGCGATGCGGCGGGCGGCGGCGAGGTGGTCCGGGCGGATGAGGGACATGGCCGTGTGGAACTGGGCGTTGGCGGCCATGTAGCCGTCGTGGCGGGGGCCGAAGTAGAGGATATCAGTCCGGGGGTCGAAGAAGACGTGCGGGGGCTGGCGGGCGAAGGAGAAGGAGAGGGAGTAGTGGGAGAGGGCCTGGGTCCGGGACTCGACGCAGGTGTGCAGGTTGGCCGGGATGGGGGCCGAGGAAGAGCAGTCGATGGGCCTGCTTCTACCGGTGGTTGTGAGGCTCTGGTTTGTGGCATCTTCAGGATCCGGACCGGGTGGTGGTGGTGGTGGTGCAGAGATGTCAGAGCCGCACCGGAGAGGGACGATGCGCCATGCTGGCAGGTTGAACTCCCAGATGCGGAGGCGTAGCTCGGCTGGGAGTTTGGAGAAGAGATGCTGGAGGTTTGTTAGTTGATGTTGCCTTGGGGAGTGTTGCATTGGGGGGGAGGTTGTAAGGCTGGGAGGGAGCTGCTAGGCAGTGAGACTGGTGAGACTTACAAAAGTCGTTGGCGCTTCCATTATTGCGGACGAAATGTACAAGCAAACTGGTAAGAGAGCAAGCGAAGAGCAAACAGGCCGCAAAGGCGAGACCAGATCGAAGAATGGAGATGGCAAACACTCCCAGTGCAAGCTTCGGACTTGAAGCAGCCTGTGGATAGATAAGAGGACGGGCGAGTGGGTAGGATTTGGTCCGTAAGGGTGTGGTATCTGCGAAGGAGATGCGACAGACGGCGAGGAGGATAGTATTAATAGATTAATAAGTGAGACAAGAAAGGCACAAACAGGCGAGAAACGATGGCAGAACAGTGTGGTTGTTGTGTGGCGGCGATTCTTGCCAGGGCAGATTGATAATGAGGTACAGACAGACAGACACCCACCACCGTGATCGTCGAGGTCAACGGGGATGCTCTAGACGAGGCGAAGGCACCGAGGCTAGTATTTGTATATCCCGTCCTACGGTACCCAATCCCAAGCCATGGCAGGCCAGCCCACGGCGTATGCCATGCTGCCGGCCAGATCCAGCCCAGGACACCCATATAACGGGAATTGTGCTATAGAAGGGTGGACGGAGTAGAAGGACGGGCTGCAATGACCCCTCCCACCCATGCGCGATGCGATGCCGGGCCAGACCCTTGACTGTGTTGACGCAGCCTGGCCTGCACATGCAGCAGCCCTCTGCAGCAGCCCACCCGCACGCTCAGGCAGCTACTTGCCAAGTACTTTCATTTCCTTTGCTCTCATTTCTTTTCAGCTGGTCCATGAAAAGACGGGCTGTGAGAGCCGGAGAAGCGAGCTGCACGCTGAGATGGAGATCTGTGAGCTGGTGGATATGTAGGCTCTGACGATGAGAGGCGAAGGGGGAAAAAGAAACGAAAAAAGAAGCCAAGGGGAACGGATTGATTGCTTCATTTTCCAGAATCATGTGCATAGTCGACCAAAATCAATCCAATTCCGCCCGCCGTTGCCCATTTGGCCTATCAGTCTGCCCGCAACTGCTTCCTGTTCCCAGCAGCCGGTACTCTCAGTCGCCCTCCGCGGATGTTACACAGACTGGACCAGCCATTATTCTACATGCGCCGCACGGCTTACAGGGATTGATTTGGGATGTGCGACTGACTTAGTAAATCCCACATGTACCGTAACAGAGCAATCATATCTGACTGACTCGGCTATGCGCGCAGTCTCCCCGCTCCCAGCCAGTGAGTGCGCCTGGGAGGATGAGTGATGTCTCTGTCCTACTTGCTGCTCTGTCTCAGCCAGGTAGGGTAGCAGCAGGAGGTATATACCATGTCACTGGATGAGTTTTGTCGTCGTGGCATGGGCAGTGAAAGATACGGGGATCCATCCGCCTTGACGCCACCCTTCACGCCCACCCACCCCTTTCCCTGGTTGTTGAGATGGGAAATCAAGAGCCTGATTGTTGCCCATGCTGTTCTGTGCTACCGTGGATGATACCCCATTGGTCGAGCTAGCATGATCGACCTATCTCGCTCGCCTTGCCAATTACCTATGCCCCCAGAGCAGGACTAGCAACAATGGGCTCTTGTCGCAATGCGAAAGGGTTCGAAGCGGTTGCCGCTAATGAGCACGCGGCTGAGAGTTTGGGGGTGGGAGGGGGGTGTGATTTACGAGGAGATAAAATAAGCAGGCAAATCAGACAGCAGAGGCAGCACGCACATACATGCGCCAGGGAGGGCAAGCAGCCAACTATTCGGCCGTTTCTTGGCACTACTGAATCCGAGTGCTTGGGTCAGCCGGTGTGGCATGCAGTTGATTAGCCCGGTCCAGCCCTCCAGGACGAGACTAAAAGCTGAAGGGGGGCCCATGGGCAAGTGGTATTGGATGCTACATTACCTACCTAGAAGGGGCCTTGCTGATCCCTCTGCCTTGTCGTCTCTATATCCTATCCGCCGTTGACGAATCAAAGGCAGATGGCCAATTTTACAAGGAGCCGGAATGGGCCAGTCTCGAAGCCCAGGGCCCCGGCTTCTATTGCTTACCTGCTCTGACTGTCTGTCTGATTGTGTCTGCTTGGGCACCGAGTTTCAGATTGCCCATCTGCTATCCTTCCTGTCGCTGTTTTGCGCGCGGCCGGTCTCGAGCCCTGCAGGTGGGAAAAGGGCAAGAAGAAAATTGATTTGGTCAAATGATGAAGATGATGAGATGAGGTACGGGGCTGGTTGATGCGACTATAGCCTGGGTAATTACCTTACCCTCCCAAAATAAAACCCCAGGTCTCGTCTGCTGCGTCTCACCCGGGTTTCGACATCGCATCTGGGCCAGAACAGCCAACGGATTGGATGGGGAGAGTTTCTGCCCAGGCTGTGGGAAAAGCAAAGAGGCTACAAAGACCCGGCCGGATGTGCACGGCCACATGCTCCGTGTGTATGCCAAACGTGGCATCCATCATATTGCTTCTTGATATAGCCTATATATAGGGGGGTGGAGGGAGCGTCTACGGCTCTCTTTGGGAAAAGCCAAGGAGGAAAAAGAAAAGAACATCATCATCGTGATCAATGCCCAAGCAGAGCAAATGGATGAATTTACCAACCCGTCCAGCCAACGTGGTAGGCATGCAATGCAGTCATGCCCAATGAACATGGGTTCTCTAACCTGTCCTTCTTCCCCTTGGCAAACGTGAGCGGCAAGTTCAGGCCAGTCCAGCCGAATCCAGCTCTTTCAATTTTCCGGAGACCGCTTTTATTTTCTTCTTCTCCTCGTTTTCGAGCGAAAAATTGGGTTTGGAAATCCCATCCCTGCTCCAGCGGCGGCCGTCGCTCCGACAGGCATACAGGGTTGGAGGAATGCCAGCAACGGCTGGGCTAAGCACCCCCGACACCCTGGCTCAATGGCCCCCCGGCCGACGATCTACGGCGTGCTCGCGATGGCCGAAGATCATGAGAAACTGCCCGGCTATCATGTAGGCACATCTGATTGGGGCCACCGGGGTTGGCCTCTCAGCTCTATCCCTTTCGCAAGGGTGTGCTGCATCTTCTCCCCTTATTATTTTCTTTTTCGCTGTCTCTTTTTTTTTTTTTGGTGTAAATTCTTCTTCCTTTTCCTCTTTTTCTCCCTTCTCTCCTCCTGTCCGGGGGTTGCTGTTCCGCTTCAGAAAAGGAGGGGGAAAGAAAAAGGGCGGGGCGGGATATCAGTTTGATACTTTCGTGAACCAAGATGATGATCCCTCGAGGAAACAAAAGTGAGGCTGATGCGGCTGGACGCAAGATCGTCACCTCTTGCTACCATTCCGCTGGTACCCCCTCCTGCCACCCTCTAGGAGCAGGAAAAAGCAAACATGCAGATATTCCCCGTTCACACTACGCCAGTGCCAGGCATGAGATTGCAATCCCACATGATCAACTAGGAACTTAAGTGAGGCGCTGCTATAGGCCATAACCTCGCATTATTGGCCCTCTGGTTGGTATGCCGATGCTGCAGCTGTGGGGAAGCAGACGGAGCATGTAATTGCTTGGGCTCTTCGCTGTTTCTCTTTTTGCTTTTTCGTCCCGATACCGCGGGCAGGCACGTCCGGAGCTGGCGAGAGAAGCTTCCTTCCTCTGCTCAACGCGGTGGCTGGTCATATGCGGGCTCGATGACAACATCCATGGGTTTGGAAATGGCTGCTAGCCCAATATCGATAACTTTAGCGAAAGGGCGTTTTATCCGCTGCAGGTAGGTTCCTCTGTCTGTTACCTGCCTGCTGACACGGACCTCAGCTGGTGCCAATGGATCATTGCTCCCCTACCGCTATCCATGCTATCCACGCTGCCATGGAGCCCCCAGGCACCCCGACGATCATCGGTCACTTAGTTTTGTGCATCCAGCATGGGAGGGCTCTGCTTCGTCTCGCTCTGGCGGCCGAACCGGCGACGATCAATATGGCTTCCGCCTCACTGGTTTGGCGGCGCCGATCGAAGCCCTCCATGCCATCACCGACACGCCGTACGTCGTACGTCACCCTACCGACGCCTCGAGCCAGTAACTGGACCAGATGAAAAGCTGGCTTGGAGGTGTGCGTCCGTACCTGATTCTCAGACGTAATTTGACTCATCATATGCACCCTTTCCCTTCCCCTTCCCCTTCTCCTTGATCGACGCGCATGCCTGGGATTGTACGAAGTTCGGTGCGTTTTGATACGTCCACTGGTAGGTAGGTATGTTGCACAGAGCTGCGTCTCCCCTCCCGCTCCCAGCTACCTGGCATACGGATCGGTGCTTGTCCAGCCATCCCAACACGTATCCACGGACGGAGGAGGATAGCTACAGGAAAGGGCTTAGCCTCCGGCTTCCCACATGCACCAAGCCAAGAACTCCTCCCCTCCCCTCTTCTCTCTCTCTCTCTCTTCCGTTCAATAAATTGGTCCGGGAGGGGTCCTGGCGCGTGCGCACCGTGGGTGCACGCAAGCCGATAGGACAGGGTTGCCAGGGTTCCCGGTGGCCAAGCCCCGAGGACCGTTGGTCGTGGTCCTGGGTCTCGTGGATGCATGCACGCACCAGGTCTTACTTGCTTGGCTGCTGGCGTCCATAGCTCCCAATTGAGTCGGGGCTGGTTGGCCATCGATCGTGACCATCGCCACCGCGATGGCCAAGGACGCTGGAAAGGCACCCGGGATCTGAGACAATCAGGCTCGCAAGCACACCCAACCAGACCAGGCTACATGCACCTCAAGGGGGCAGGCTTAGCTACCTACCTATCTGGAGCACATAGTAAGATGCCTAACTAGGTAAACGATCTCTACTACAATGATCAAGTCCTACCCTGGGGAATGTCTTCCCAGATGTCGCATCCGCTGGCTAAGGGACCTCTCTGTTCGGTTTAGTTGTACAGCCAAAAGGTGGGAAATTAATCAGGTAGACTCTGGAGGTGCACAAGCAAGCACATAGAGTGAGTGTAGGAGTGATCACTCGTTGCCGACCTCAAGCTGCACGTTGACGATAGATCATGCTATCCGGTACCCAACCAGCCAACTGGTATATGGGTTTGGTTGAGGGCCAAGGGAACGACATGAAACTTTGTAACTGTTGAATGACTCTGCCAAAAGCCCAGACTGTAGTAGTAACCGCCAATTACCAGGCATGCAGGTTGCCGACCGTTCGTTCAACGTGGCAGCACATGTACTACACCTCAACAACGCAGACATAATGCAGATGCACCCACCATTTTTTTTTCAAGGCAAACGCACTCTGCATTGCATTATGTGTGACGAAGATGCAGGCAATGGAGATCTCTTGGCTGTGACAGCCTTGACTCCTGCTGCGGGATGCTATAGTAGGATTTCTTCATGTCGACTTTCGTGTCAACTCCTGGTCCATTCATCTTGGCAACTGCGTCTGCAGTCTGCAGGCCATTTGGATCACTACATATTAATGTGTGATTCCTCATGGGTCCGTCAAAAATCGTATACCCCTCTCTTTGACACAAGTCAGAGTCACTTGGTACTTTCTGGATTTGACCGAGCGGGCAATGATCAAGGTGAACGCGAAGGCGAGGAGAAAGTGAGAAGTGAGAGCCACGGGCGGCAGCCATTGTCTCCAGGTGAATGAGAGAAAGAGATAAGCAAAATTGAACGAAGCGAAATGCCACATTATATCCGTACGCTTTGCAACTCGTGTGCGAGTCGCCCAAATTCCCTCCTGGCACCAACACAACATTCTGGTCTCTGACCTTTCTTTCTTCTAAGTATTCGAATCCTCCAGCCATGGCGAACCCAGTCACTCCCACCACGCCTTCTCGCCCCCTTCCCCCTCGACCAACGCAACAGTTCAAAGAGCAGCTTCGCCCTGTGACTCCCACGGAGCCCCTCACTCACCCAGCTCTCAGGAAAGTGGCATCGGCGACAACGACACGACTTGAACCAGTGATGGAGGGCGATGCCAAATCCCTTCGCGAGGTGGAAAAGCCACCCCCAGGCGAACAATTGCGGAGGAAGATGTCTTCGCCTGCGCTCTCAAGGCATAGAAGCCGCTACTTTGAGCGAGCCTTTGGGTCGCCTCGAGAGCTTGAGGAGGAGACGCAAAATGTGAGGGCACAGGCGATAGTGTTGGCAGAGATCAAGACAAACGTGATCGTATGACATTTCCTTTCCCCTCCCGAGCTTGATGAGTCAAGGTTCAAAGCTTGCAAATAAGCGATCTAACTTGCTGGGAACTTCGCGGGTAGATCAACGACGAGGCAGCGTTCATGAGCAACCTTGCATCTCTCATCGCGAGGCGATACGACCGGCCCATCACGTCCGTCGCCGTCACCGTTGAGCACGGCGTGTGTATGCTCTTCAGCGGGACCTTCGACCCAGCATATACCATCACCATACATGCCATCCCATCACTGGTGCAGCCAGTGACGAACAAGAGAAACTTGGCCCTGCTGCAACACCACCTCGAATGCGCACTGAGAGTGCCCTCTTCGAGAGGACTGGTCCGGTTTGTAAGCGTCCCAGAGGACTGCTTTGGACGAAACGGACGGACGGTCGCCGGAGATATCATGGAAGCCGTCGGGGCTGCTACGTTAAACTCTCTCGAGGAGGGAACAGTAGCTCCAGCCCGGGTAAGTTATCCCACACCTGCAGATGTTCCTAGTACGCAAAGGTGTTTTCGAATAACTCTAACACAGTAACTATGTAGACTTCCAAGAAGGAAGGTTTTGAATACACGCCCAAGTCCTCGATCCCCTCCGAAACGAAGGCTGGTGCCAGATTGGAAAGAATGCCACGGGAAGAGACGAATGGGGATCCGCGAGGACACGAGCTGGAACCCCCTCCTAGACGGTCATCAAGTGAGGCAGTGGCGTCCCCAGCCCGTCTCAGAGGATTGAAGAACAAGCGGAGTCTTCAGTTTATCTCATCATTGTTTAACAAGCCATTGAAAACGAGTCAAGAGGCAACCCAGCCTCACATGGAAGATAGATCGAAATCGAGAGACCAAAGCTGATAGAAAGGCACACGTACATTTCTTCATGTCAAAACACCATGAAGGAGCAATCCATTTAAGAATATTCAAAGTAGTCAGAAATAGCTATACTAGTTTAATCAGAAAGAGAAACATTATATGACGACGGCTCATTCTGGAACCAGGTGTTTTTGGAGGTCTAGTGGTAGGTGGTACAGGTTAGGTAGGAGGAACTACGGCCGTAGAATTGTTGCCTAGGTAGACTGACGTTTCTACATCCCGTGACTGAGAAATTGCTGGAGAAAGGGCGGCATAAGCTTATTTGTGCCCGGCCAATGCGTTACATTTTATTTCCTGAATGAAGAGATGAAAGCTAATCGTACGATGTATCGAATACCTACGAGGTACTAACTGAGACGTGCTGCTGGAAGCCCGCCTTTCTGCCGAGTATTTCCCTGCTGGCATACCCTGGTAAGGTACTTCTGAGCTGGTAAAGCTGGCGATAATTTTAGTGTAAAAATACTTTGCGTTGATGTCCCTCCTCGCTCAAGCTACTTCAGGCAATAATCGCTATCACCAGCTGCAGCAGGTCCCTACAATCAAACCATCTCCAAGCCGCTCTCACCAACACCTTGAACTACGACATAGGCTGCAGCTCCCTCAACCGTGTTTTCTTCCATCGTGTTCCTGCAGCACTCGCCCCTCCCTTCGTCGCAATTGGGAGCCGGCACAGCCAGCCAGCCAACCAGATCGCACACGCAAACACGACTCGGCAGCCTGCTTGCCTTGCCGCTGGAGTGGGAGAGCTGCCTGGCCTACCGTGAGCAGTTCCGTGGAGGTGCACAGCGTCTGGCGGTTGTTCATCACACCGTCAGCATGGAGGTAAGCGGATGATTTTTTGTCGGTCTAGATTTACTGCTCCTATCCGTTGCGTTCAAACAACCCCCCCCTCCTTGCATTCTGTCCGTCTTCCCACGACGTACATGCCCTCTGCACAGTCCCCCTCCATTTGTTTGATGATACTTTCGCCCCCCCCCTTTCTCCCCTGGATGGGACGGATGGCTGCTTTTGCCAACCAGCTGGTTGGGTACCAATATACTCCCTCCCAAACAGTTGCTGTCGCCACAGGCAGGCTACTTGCTTTTTGGGTGTTACGATCAACTCTCTCACCAACTCCGTTGGCCAATGCAATGCCGCCCTTGCCCAAGCACAATACCTGTCAAGCCTTCTGTGTGCTGTGGCCGGTTCAGCTGTGTGGCCACTGCCTCTTCAGCTGACCATGCCTCAAGCTGAAGCAAACAAGGTCTTCCTTGTGTGAGATAAGGTTCGTGCTTCCTGAACAGCATGGGAAAGAGGCGGCTGAGCCCGGGAGCCTCGCAGTACCCTCACATTTTGGCACTTGGCTGGGATTGTGTGACCACCTCCGAATAAGCTGAAATCCTGGCTACCTGAGGGCTTGAAAAAGAAAGGGCAAAAGAAAAAAAAACCCTTGGCAAGGTCGACGCAGCGCAACCTTGACTCGCGGCGCCCTAGGCTTGCGACAGTGGCGGTGTGGATTTAACGACCTTGGACCCGAGCCTGCGGTTTCCCTCCTGCGGACAATTGTTTCGACCCTGCGCCTATCCGTCACTGGTGCAAGGAGGACGGCGGACCCCCCTAGTGTGGTGATCTGGCAGTGTGATCCCGCCTGTTGTTGATCCCACCCAGGTCAACGAGGGCCGGCTGCTTACGCCTCCAGCTCCGGCTGTGTTGCTGTTCAGTATTGGACTATCAGCTCTCGGATATGGGAGTGAAGGTGATGCAGGCTCGCAAGACAGGCCGTCCGTCGCTCTGTTCCCACTCTCCCAGAAGTCTGGCGAGACTGTCCTGAAGGCTCTATATATCCAGGAGTCGGGAACTTGGTCTTTGCGAGTGCTTGATTACATACCCCCGTTCATAATCCCACACATATATTCACTACACGAAACACATTCACCGCAGTTACCCTTTGAATCCAACATTCCCTTAGAGCCATGTCTCTTCAGCCGTCATATTACTCGAATGAGCCTTCGGCCAAGGACGAGGCTCAAGAGCCTCGTCCGGACCTGACAAGATCCAATACAAGTGCAGCGCAGCTAAGTCTTCAGCGTTATTTTGAGCAGAATCTTCCCGGGGCTCCCCCAAAAGATGGGATGAAGCCGGACGATCCAGCTACAGCCGTGCCTCCAAAGGGCAAACCTAGACTGCTGCTGATGGGCCAGAGACGGTAAGCAAGAGAAGGTACTATTATGTTGCTGAACCCACTGCTGATACGCTGCCAAAGATCGGGAAAGTCTTCGATTTCCAGTGTCGTCTTTCACAAACTTCCACCAAGCGAGACTCTGTTCCTTGAGTCTACCGCTCGTATTCAGAAGGACTCTATGGCGTGAGTAATGGGATATCCGCGGCAGCTCAACTCCAAGGCATTAGCTGACCGATTTTGTCATAGATCATTCATGGATTTCCAAGTCTGGGACTTTCCTGGCCAAATCGATATTTTCGAAAACCCGGGGTTTGACTTGGAAGCCATCTTTGGCGAGATTGGTGCTTTGATCTGGGTCATTGATGCACAAGACGACTATCTTGAGGCCGTGGCCCGGCTCAATACTACTATCCTCTCTCTTCAGCGCTCATATCCAAACATCAACATCGAAGTCTTCATTCACAAAGTCGATGGCTTGTCTGATGACTTCAAGTTGGACATTCAACGCGACATTACCATCCGTATTCAAGACGAGCTCTCCGACCATGGTTGTGAGAACGCACCAGTCACTTTCCACCTTACTTCCATCTATAACCATTCCATCTTCGAGGCCTTCAGCAAGGTCATCCAAAAGCTGATTCCCCGCCTGGGAACACTCGAGTCCATGCTTACGAATTTATGCCGCACATGTCGCCTGGAAAAGGCCTACCTCTTCGACGTTCTGTCCAAGATTTACATCGCAACTGACAGCTCCCCTGCTGATATGGCTTCATATGAGATTTGCAGTGATTACATTGATGTTATCATTGACATCACAGAGGTCTATGGCACTTGGCACCGTAGCGAAGAGGGTCGCAAGAAGCTCGAGGGAGGCCCGTGGGATGCTAAGCTCGAGGACCAGGTCGGCTGCTCAACAGCCGAGAGCTGCCTGGTCCTGCACGACAGCAAGAAGCCCATCATGCTCCGTGAGGTTGATCGATATCTTGCGCTAGTGGCTATCATGAAGGAAGACTCCTATGATAAGATGCCTCTGGTGAACATGAATGTCGAGGCTGTGGTGGAGGGGCTGACGGAATTTTTCAACATCACGAAGCGTAATAGATGAGCTTTTTAGCTGGTACGGAGGACTTATCCTTGGGCGATGTGTGTGAAGCGCCCTCAGAGCAACAAAAAGGACGGGGTCTATATCAATGACTGTTCTGGCGTTCTCGGTTTCTCTTCTTTTCACTTCTAATCTCTCTCTTAGGGAGTAAATATAGCAGGCAGCTCTACTCAACAAGAACTTGGGTAGATACCATGGAAATGCAATCTTGACGTTCGGCAACATGAATCTCATATGATACGTATTTAACTCTGTCAAGTTGACATGTTGTGTCAGAATGTTCTCTCGCAGCTGTTTGGGTTGATTTGGACTTTTTTCTTAGCCCGTATGTGACATGTACGCTAAGACTCTATCTAGAAAGGCCATGGAGTTCAGTGATAGGCTCAATATTTATATCGATTCTCCTTCTGGCAAGGTGAAGGTTCGCAATGTGCTGAGGTTGCTCTCTAGAAGACATATCCTCTTCGGAATATCCCCGTGGGTATCACTACTGTCGAGGACCTCCATGCGCACGGGATTCATTGCCTGCTGCTCCTCTGGAAGGGTGAAAGACGGGAACCCATCACTTGGGACGTGAGATATCTCGGAGGTATTGGCTGGGTCGTAAGGTGAATATTGGATTGTGTGTTGACGGAATGGTACTGAAACCAAGACTGGCGTTGCATCTGGAAAGGGTTTTAGGCTTGGAACTAGGACTAGGACGAGGACAACAGGATGTGCTGAAATTGTCGACTTACCTGACTCTTTGCATAGCAGAATAAGGCTCGTGTTGTCTATAAAAGCGAAGTCGACGAGGGTTCGATTGCCCAAGTCAATCAAGCACCTAGAAGTAGGCATGTTCCTGCTGATTCCATTGATAATGTCCAATTGTGTCCGGAAGATGGTCACTGAAATGAAGGGGAATTCCGTTGGGTTAGAAATTTTTGAAGAACTAGGGTTGAAGTGCCAAGAATGATACTCACATTTTGACTTTGAATCTTCCGATGCCAAGGCAACGAAGACGATAGCATCCTGCAATTGAGGTTAACAAACGGATAGAGCTCGGGGTCATGTGGGCTTCTAATAAACAAACCTCCCCGTCGGCCTCAACGATGCGACAGTCATAAACGTCTATAGGCTGATCGATTGAAAGAGAAATGGGTTTGCCGAAACGCACGCTCCTCCTCTTGGTTTCTGCAATGTGCTCAAAGGCCTTGCTTGACCAGTGTGTGGCGTAATCAACCAGGAACTCAACGTGGGGCAAAGCCTTCATCGCCTCTTGGCCTTTCTCGTGTTTCTTTACCTGAGCTGACACAGTGTCCAGGAGATTTACACCGCTGTCAATGTGCTCCCAGTCTGCGGTGAAGTCTTCCTTGGAAATCTCATCCAGATACGTATGAAGAGGACTGCTCGCTAGATATTGCTCGATGTAGGTCAGGACTTTCCCGATGTCCGTGGTCGCCTCCTTTTCAGAGAGCTCTTCACTCTCAGAACTGGAAGTGGCCAGGCGGTCAATCTGTGAGCGGAGCCAGCTCGAGAACACCGTGAAGTGCTCCAATTCATCCATGACCAGCAGGAGTATTTTGTGTCCGATTAGTGTCAAGCAGCTGAAAATGTCCATTATCTTGGTGATTTGTACCGCAGAGAAGCCGATTTCTTCTTTGGCATTGTAAAAAAGAGCTAGACCTCGAAGTCGACTGAGGATGATGGAGCAGCGTTCCAGTACGGGGAGAAAGTTCTCGTGGATCAGGCTCCGAAGTCCTTCCAGCCCGGACACGACAGCTTTATCCCATCGTTTATGGCCCTGGCATAAATTATTAGCTTTCAAAGTAAAAAAGGGCACTCCCTGAGATTATTGTGCGCATAAGAAGGAAAACTTACCCTCTCAGCAAGGCTATCAACAAGCCATTCCCGGACGGGCGCGTAGGCATGGCCAGTTACGACTGTGTGGTAGAGAGCGGGGACAATAGATCGCGGTCCCATGTCTGACCCCTTGAGATCTTCCTCAACACTACGGAGGAACTTGCTAGGCAACTCTCGGGTATTTTTCCATTCAGTCTGCATGTGAAGCTGGGTCTGTTTTAGATACCTTAGCAGCTTCTGCATGGTTGTTAGCTTGGTGGTGAGGAATGATAGGTTAATAGGCGACGAAGATAGAAAGGGCAGGTCTGTAGGTATCAAGTCGACTTGGCTTGGTTTCTTCAGCTTGTCTGCCACAAGCAGCGTGTGCGTTGAGATCTGAGGATTCGACGTGTGCTTGAGCAGCTGCGATGTATAGGGAGCTAGGCTTGAAGATGGACACGGAAATGATCCTATGGCGAAAGAATCACAAATGTTAAGATGGATCCGGCCGTCATCAGTCCCAACGATCATGACGTTGACGAAATCGTAGTCTTCATGCCGAGGGGTCTGGAACAGAAAGTCGATACTGGTTCTGAGGGTGAATACAGTAGCGTCCTCGCTACGATTCCTGGTCAGCCATAGCCCATGGGATTGAAGGGTGGGCTTTGAGCTTACCCAGGGCCGGCGCTACTACTAGGTAACGGACTGATCTTAGGCAAAGCCGCTTCGACCTCCAGGTACATGAGTTCCCGGGGCAAATCTTTCGTTTTATTCTCTGGGGGCCTGGAATATGTTTCTTTGTCATCATCCGTAGAGGTCTTGCTGCAAGCCCATCCGATGTGAACAATGCGGGCATCAGTACCAGAGCAGATGTCGATATGATGTGCGGTTTTGTTGCTTTCAAGGCCCATCAACCTCACCACGCCATCGCTCCAACCAATGGCAAGGAATTGGCCTGAAATATCAATCTTGGTCAATGGTTCTGTCATATGTTTGTTGGGAAAGATTTGGTCACACGCCTCACATACCATCTGCTTTCCAGGCTGTGGACACGGCTTCCGGAGGCTTGACTCCCAGTCGCCCAGCCTGGTGGATCTTTGACACGATTTGACCAGGAGGCCGATTAATGTAAACATTCTTCCCACTATTGTCCCAAGTAGTCGAGAGATCAAGGGTAGGGCAAGTCACCGGATAGCCATCTGAGACGCGATGCTTGAACTCAACCTCACTCAAGAGGGAGAGCGTCCGGGACATGGTGCATTCGCTCTCTCGCTGGCTGTGTTCCAATACTTCTTCAAGCAGCACATTCCATTCGTATGTCTTTCCAAGGCTTTCTTTTTGCTTGTTTCTTTAGTCTGGATCGTCTGATAAGTAGTTTGGTGTGTTGTGAGAGCACAGTTCGGAGTGGCTGTTAGGCGCACTGTACTCAGTTGCCTGCCGTTCTACGCATTGAAGGTACCTATTAGGTAAGCATTACACGTTAAAGAAGCACTGAACACCTGCAATATATCTAGGTAGATACGAGTATCACCAGCAATATCATGACATTATCCTCTCGCGAAATCAGTGGAAATAGCCACTTCTTGCTTGTTCTCGCGAAAAGTCACACTAATCTCATCTTAATTTTCATACCACATGTCATTGCGCCATTAGGTTGCTGCGACGAATGATTCCCAATATCCCCCACAGCAGACAGACACCCTCTATAGTATAACCTACCAGACCATCTCCAAAACCTAGAACTCTCGCATAATCTGCTGTTTATTCGATCAGGAAGTTGTCGGCGTGAGACTTAATCTCCTTGGAGAAAGTCACATCCTCGTTTTCTTCCAGCAAGGACGCCGATGAGACCTAGAAGAAAAAAAATCAATCATTAGTTTCACGAGCTCGTTGCTTCGGTGTTTGTTCAAGGCTGGTCTTACGTCGATATCGATATATGGTGTCGTCTTGTTAAATGTGATGTTCATGGGGAAGAAATCGTTCTCATCTTGAGACTCGGCTTCGAATTCAAAGGAACCACTGGGGTTCTCTTCATCCACAGTGCCCACATGCCATTCCAGAGCATCACCTGACACTTCGTAGGAAGCATCAAAGCTGGACACGACAGGCTCACTACCTTGGTAGGGAATGACGACACTGACGTCCTTCAACTCACTTCCGCCAGTCAATTCATACTCAATTGTCATGTTGTACTTGTCAGACTCCTGGTTTACCCAGACAGTGAATGTGATGGGGCAGGCGCTCGAGTCGTCGACCTTGGGGGTTGCTCGCCATCGTAGAACACCGACAGCATTGTTGACTGGGAAACCTCTGGCCGTGTTGCTCATCTGGATGATCTTGGAATTATTGAAAAGATTCTTGTCGACGTTGGGGTGGGTGCGGAACTGGGCGCCATGCGAGGGAACAGCATGCAGCACAAGCTTGAGCTTGGTCAAGCTGGCATCGGAAATACGAAGCGTCAAATCTCCACTGATGGCTAGAGAGTTGACAGCGCCCTCTCTTGAAAGCTTCGCGCTGACGGTCTCGTTGATAGTCACATGGATAGCATCGTGATCAAGGGCGGATGCATGGTGGCTTGCCGGCTCTGCGGCGGCGGCGGCGGCGGCAGGAACAACAAGAGGGCTCTCATCAATCTCCCCACCCATATCACCGCGGACTCGCTCAAACATATCGGTTGTCTTAGACTTCTTGCCCAGTTGCATGCCCTTACCCTTGGGAGCAGTTGGCCTAAGACGATGTAAGTAAACGACTAGGATCAAAAGCTATGAATCGAAGGAAAGAAAATGCTACGTACTTGGTGTAGGTCTTGTTCTTCTCGGCCTCGTAAGAATTGGTAGTTTCGGCTGGTCTCGTAGGCGTAGTGTAGGTTGGGTAGACAGGCGTTCGAGGAACGTTGCCTCGTCCACTGCGGGCCGCATCCTTTCGTTGGAGCTCGAGTTGCTTGGCCTTCCGTTTCCGCTCCTCGGTAGCTTCCAGCTCTTTGTTCTATAGCATTTGTAAGCGGCGTTTACAAGGAGATAGTACGACAAGAAGATGCATACCCGTGCGATAATCTCCTGGATCCGCTCCTCGTGACTTTCCATGTCCAAAAACGTTCGGATCTGGCTCAATGTGAGGTTCTCCCGGTAACCAAGTGTAACCAGCTCGTCAAATGCGCTGAGGAGATCATATGCATTCTTGACAATTTCCCTTTCGTCCAAGCTCTTGCAGGTGCTGGTGACGACCTGGGCAAACAGATGTAGCGAGTCGATGTCCTGCAGGATATTGGATTGGCGATTGGTGATGAGCACCATGTAAAGCTCATCCAAAGGCTGATATACAAATCGGACATTGTCCTGTTCGACCGTCGTGTGTTGTGTGCCGCTGTCGGCAAGCTTGGGAAACGAGGCAAGCAGGGCCTCAACGCGGGATCGTGGCATCTCTCGAAACTGCCTGGAGAGGACAGCTTTCCCCCCACGGGTACATATCGAAGCAGCGAGAACGACCTGCACATAGTCAATTAAGATTTGGATGAGAAAAAGAGAAGCGGATTTCAAATCAAAAAGCATACCATGTTGCTGAAAGCGCTGTTGTCCGCTAGAGTCTTGGTCTGAGTTGGTGGTAGTTGGAAGCAAACGACAAGGAGGCGGTCGCAATAGCACTTCTGTCGTGTCCCTCCCCTTGAATGGCCACTGAGCTCCCGTGGCCAGTGCCAGCAAGGTCAGCCTACCTACCCTAAACCCAGTTGCAGGGCCTCAGCTGCTGTGAGTACGAGACACTCTGGCCTGGATGGTGGGGTTGACTGAGATGGGAAGGCGGTGAGTTCATTTCTGCCATACTGCGGCATCTCTCCTGTGGGTCCTCTACCTGGTAACAACTCCAGACTATGACAGAACAGACTTGGGCCGCGACCAACGAACAAAGAGTCTCCTAACTTCTGGCTGTTGCCTACCGGGATCCTTTTACAAGTTCCTTCAAAAGTGACTTTAGTTGAGAGTTCTCTAACCATCTACCTGCCGCCCACATTCTTGCTTTCCCTTTTACACGGACCAGATGTTGCCTCTCAAGTTTCACTTTCCGATCCCAAACCAGTACGCGCCACTCCTAATTTGAACGCGCCATTGTTTCCAACCGAGTCGCGAACGACTTCCTACCTCGAGATTGGACAAATACATCAGTGCCTCCTTTGACATTTGGCATATCTTCCTGACTATCAAACCCGCCAATCTGCGAAATTAAATCACGGCGCCTAAGGGATTACAACGTCGCCCGGGTACCAGAATGACTGATATCGAACTGGATATCGATATAACCCAGCCACTGGGTTCTAGTGGACTGGCCGGTGATGAAGATTTGATTGATTACGAAGACGATTACTCGCATGAGAACATTTCCGCGATCAAGAGGAGTGATGCTCCATTTCCAGATGAGGATTCCATCGGGCAAATAAATACAGATACCATCCATGCCAAGCCAGAAATTCATGGATCACTGGAAGAAATCGATGCCGGAGAACTTGGCCTAGACTCGACTGAAACGGGGGATGCTGAAGCTCTTGTTGGAGATGAAGAAGGCCAACTAGAGTTCCCCTACGAACAAGACCAGGGCAAGTTGGAAACCGAGACCTTGGACCAGTCTAGTATCACCGTTGATACTCACGATGGGAATGGGTCTTCTCATGACGAGCATCAAACTACCCAACATGATAGTCATAACAAGGTCGATAATCATGACACGAGCAACGAGCAATATCCTCATCCCTCTGAATTAGATAATGCCGATGCTGAAGGATATGAGAATCACGAGGTCGAGGATTACGACAAGGATGAGGACCACAGCCATGATATTGGCGTAGAAGCGCTGGCTTTTGGTGGTGACGAACCTACGTCTCATGACGAGGGCGATGCCGATGAACATGACCTGAAAGGTCAAAGTACAAACGAGCTTGATGTCCACGACGATTTAATGGATGAAGATCACACCCATGAAAGTCGAGACCATTCTCATGAACAGCCGGAGGGTGACATTTCGGACTCTGGGAAAATGGGATCTAATGATCTGGACGACGAGATTACTTGGGAGGATGAAGAAGAAGCCCAAGCTAAGGAGGTGGTGGAGGAGGCTGATATATCAACCGAAGGACTCGTTCCTGCAGAGGAGCATACCGCCGAAGGTGAGCAGACACAACAATCGCCAACCCCGCATGAAGGCTCGGAAAGCACCACAGACGAGACCGAAGCGGTCGAGACACAGCAGTCAAATCAGGAGGCTGGCATGGACCACGATCAGCTTGGTACTGATAATGAGGGCACCGAGGACGAAAATCCAGAATTTCCAGCAGTCGTTGTGCAATACAAGGGAGAGGAATTTCCTCTTTTTTCTCCGTCTTCGGGGGGATTTTTTGCGGAGATCTCTATTCTCGATGATACGATCGAGGGGCTGCTGGCAAGCTTCAGAACCGAACTCTCGAATGAACTTAGCACAGAAGATGATCTAGTTTTCCAGATTGACGAGCTTGGTCTGGAATATGCTGAGGTATGTTGCTGTCTTTTACATTATCCAACGTTTTCATACTAATGACCTGTCCAGTCACACCCCCATGACTTATTATGCACTTGCACCTTGCGCCAGATTTTGGAAATATTTGACATGCTCGTTAAGAACCAAGACCCGGGCGGTACGCGTACACTTTACACTTGTCTGTTCACGAAGCCCAACCCCCCCAAGCGGTGGGAGGCCCTGCTAGAAAGTGCAGCATCTGGTCAGGGCCTGGAGGAGGTCATGCATATTTTCAATCCTCGTGTTCCCACTAGCACCGAAGCGGAGGCTTGGGGAGGCTCCGAGGAGTATGGGCTCCTTGACGAATATGAAAGTGTTGAAGATGATCAAGCGGAAGTGACATACGAGGATACCGAGGAGCAAAACGAAGAAGAAATTGATATAGCAGAAGCTAATCATGCCCAAGAGGAAGGGGGTCACCCCAACTCGGCAACGGGCTATATTGATGCACAGGAAGTCGAAGAGCCTGACCGCAACACCGATAACGACGATTTCGAACAGTCACCCGTTGCCAATCAATTTGATCAGCCGACGGTCCAAGCAACTACGAACGTACCCTCAACTTGTAAGTTGCGTCCTTCTCTGAGTGAAACCCTGAACCGTACCCTAGCAAATGCTAACAAGGGAATTATGTAGCCAATATCGAGAGCAATTCCGCTGTCAATGCAACCTCGCATGTTGAAGTGATCGATCAAGATGAGGAGGTTGATTTCGGGCTAGGCGATGACGCACAAGTCATATCCCAACACATTGCCGAGGGAGAATTCGACGACGAGCCATCTGGCAGCACAACGACGAACACTTTGCATGCTGATGAGACCGAGGACCAGCATGTGAGATTTCTTGAGGATCAGGCCCTTCAAGATGAGAATGATGATCAGTACCAAGTAGATTTGGTTGAGATTGATTGGAACGAAGCTGAAGAAAATGAAATTGCCACTGGAGGCGAGTCTACAACACCGTCCGCCAAACGGTCTTATCCGACCGACCCACAGGATGCGGATGAAAACTCAGGTATGGCAAACAATTCCTAGTGATTTTGGGTTAAAGTTACTAACATGAGAATAGATGCCAAACGGCGCCGGTCCTCTTGAAAAGACTTCTGACAAACTAATTTTGACTGACCAAAGCAATAATTTCCCTTCTCCCCAAACCCGATACAGCTAGAGATGCTGGTTCGCCCTCTACTAACGGAGTATCACTCCTCGTCCTCTATATCACGAAAGTAACGTGGTGACCCCTTGGATGGGTTGGGGACGTTTGGAGCAACAACTAAACTCGACTATATAATATTGTCCCTGGTGGCAGGTAAGGTATGAAAGAACGTACTAACTCTGAGGCCTCACAAGGATGCGACTCTGGCTTTCTCAAGCAGTATATCTTGACTTTTATCGACAGCAAGCAACAGTTTGTACCCGCAACTTCCGGAACTTATCATTTCAACACCCTTTTTACTATGTACCACATTTACAGGTACATTTTTCCCAGTGACTTCACTGCCGCAGAATCATCGATTTTGTGGGAATCAGGCCTTCAGCATGGTTATTTTATGGTTGGTGAATCACATTTGATTGAGCCTTGGCGTTGGAGGGGAAAAAGGTCGTTGTACGGATTCTTAAGTAATGAGAGGGGTGCCTAGAGGGCCCCTTCCCTTCCCGGTTCTTCTCTTCTTTTTACTTTTTTCATGGTCTTCACTTGTTTGTGCCGCTTACACATCGACAAGACAGATCATATTCCTTGAAAACGGAGTTTATTTAGGTAGTGTAGGTTGGAGTTAGGGACGAGATATGCTTGGGATAAGGTAGTTGGCCTCCCTATATAACATCGTGCCATATCTAGGTAACAAAAAAGAGGTTCCAAATTCTAAATGGCATGAATGTACGTTCCATGTGTGAATGGGTGAGATGACAGTCTCTGCTCTCGGCCACGAACGGCCAGTTTTGTGTGCTATACGAACTCCACGTGTGATGCCTCAATTTGGCGAATTCTATCGTGCTGAAAACGAGGGCGCAATCAAAGCGCATTGGCCATTCTACGGAGATGGGGCTATTGCCTGCTGGGTACCTACTCCGTCTTACCCACTCAACGGAGCAGCCTGGCAGTACGTACTCGTCACCTCGTGTCAGAAAAGTTTGTCGTGCAGGCTAAGCACTACACTAGGTAATTAATAAAACACGATGCACGCGTCTGTCTGTCGGGAGCATTTGATCAAACCCACTCTGCTGGAGGGGCGGGGATCGTATCTAGGGGTGGGCGGTTGCTCTGGCAGGCTACGTGGACATGAAACCGGACTTTGGTGGGGATTGAGATGGTGAGTGAGGTGAGGGAGCAGCGTTGCGAGATGGGCGATTGCAAGGGCGACCAGGACCCAGATTGCCAGACACGACCAAGGAGGGTCCATCAAGGAGGCTGAGCAAGGTCGAGCTTTTTTCGCTCCCTCCCCTGATGAGATCCCTGACGCAGCCACTCAAAGAAAGGGATCCGAGGGGAGGTAGGTGGGATACCCCGGTATCTGTACTTCGGGACGGAAGGGAACGCCTCCTCCAATGAGCACGTCCCTTGTAGCAGTACCTGGCGGTCCTAGCGCTAGCACGCCGGTAGGTCCTTTAGGCCCAGAGCAGGTGGGTGGGCTGCGCTGTCGTCTGCCACGGAGGGCTCTGTCCAGGCACCTGCTCTTAGGCTCAGCTGCCGCCACGGACGGGACTATTGCTTTGGATGTGCCCTGAAAATCCGTGTTTGGCAACTGGCACAAATCGTTAGTGACTTGACTTTGACTCCAGACCACTCCAGCCACCACCTTCATCCGACCACTCACATCACGCCCAAGTACACCTTGCGTCTTCTCGATTGACCCCTTAGTGTCCTGGCGCTTTTTTCCCTATCGCACGCACACAGCATCAAGCAGGCTCTGATTTCCTCGCGAGCATTGATATCTGCCTTGCCAACAGCCAGTGGACCGTACCGCAAGTACCCTGTCGCGACATAGGCCAGGACTGTCCTCAGCAAGTACAGAATCACGACGAGAGCCTGCCACCGTCCATTTGCGAGCGCCGGCTGAAGACGACACGAAACGATCGAACGAACCCCTTAATCGACTCTCCTTAACGCTCACAGCACGCCTCCTCGCCCGGTGCGAGCTCCTGTCCACCATACGCTCGTTTGAACACATAAAGTCACTCGCCGGCTCTGTCGCCGGCCGCTTTCTTCTAGTCCGACCGATCGCACTATTCCACAATGCTCACAATGGTTGACGACAAGTACGGGCTCCCCCGCGATGTCCTACCTCAACTTTCCTCCAAGGCGCATCGAATCCCGAGCACTCCTGAGGACATGGTGGCTGATACATCGATTGTAGATACATCGGTTTAGCGCTTGCTATAACGTCAGCAGTAACAATTGGTAGGCTCCCCATAGGACGAGAGCTAGCTAGCCCTCTTGCAAGTATGCTAACGAGACGACTACAGGCACCAGTTTTGTCATTACGAAGAAGGTTTGCTTTCCCCACGAGACGAAGCTGCGACTCAGCGCGGATATCGAGCCTCCTCAACCACGGCGCTAACGCATCTCATTCCCTAGGGCCTGATACAGGCAGAGGAGCGACATGGCTTCGAGGGCGATGGCTTCGTATACTTAAAGAATCCCTTGTGGTGGGCAGGTATCTTATTATGTGAGCAAGGCCTGATATTCGTTGACGCAACAAGTAGACTGACACGCTTGCCAGTGGGCTCGGGAGAGGTTTTCAACTTTGCAGCATATGCCTTTGCGCCAGCCATTCTTGTCACCCCTCTGGGTGCTCTGAGTGTTCTCGTAGGCGCCGTGCTGGGATCATATTTCTTGAAAGAGGAACTAGGAACTTTGGGTAAACTTGGAAGTGCCATTTGCCTAATTGGTGCAGTTGTCATTGTTCTCCACGCGCCTCCCGACGAAGACATTAAGACTGTTGATCAGATCTTGCACTACGCTATCCAGCCAGGTATGCCAAACCGCTCCTGAAGCGCACCCTAGGCCTCTTGTCTAACGATGAGCACAGGATTCCTTCTCTACGCCACCTTTGTTGTTATATTCGCCGTCATAATGATCTACAAAGTTGCCCCCGTACATGGCAAGAAGAATGCGCTCGTCTACCTGTCCATCTGCTCGACGGTAGGGTCCATTTCGGTCATGTCAGTCAAGGCTTTCGGCATTGCTCTCAAACTCACATTTGCTGGCCACAATCAATTTACGCACCCCTCGACTTATGTCTTCATTATCGTCACGGCTGTTGCGATTCTGACCCAGATGAACTACTTCAACAAGGCACTCGCTTCCTTCCCTTCAAACATGTAGGTTAAATTGCTCTTACACTTGTTTCTTTGCCTTGAGACACAGCTGACACATGTCCCATCAGCGTCAATCCTTTGTACTACGTCACCTTCACCACCGCAACCCTGTCAGCATCGTTCATTCTCTTCAGTGGTTTTAATACTACGGACACAGTCAACACTCTGTCTCTGCTCTGCGGCTTCCTCATCACATTCGCCGGAGTGTACCTGCTCAATCTCTCAAGAGGTGATCCCAATGGCCAAAGGCTTTCGAGGGGTGGAGAAGATACCACAGGCACAGATATGGTCTCTCGATTGAGTATGCAGTCGAGGAGAAGTGGTGATCGCCGCCACAGTATTAGCAGCCAGCATGGTGATCGAGATGGGCTGATACGGGCATACGATGAAGAGGAGGCTGCGGGCTTCGGGCTCAACGATCTCGCGGAAGACAGCGAGGAGGACCGTCGACCCAGCGGCCAAGCCAACGGCCATGCTCGTGGCGGTGCTCGCCGCACCAACGATATCGAATTGAATAATCGGCGGTGATGATGATTTTAACAATACGAATGGCCGAAAGAAGCTGGAGATATAAAGCTATCTAATCAAATCAAGCCTTGACGAAACGATCAGGCAAAGTCCACTCACGATAGTTTGGTCCGCAACATAGCCATTTGCACACCCGTCATGTCTTTTCATCACCGTTCACCGGCATTGATAGAGCTGTGAATCACGATTTTTATGTTTCTTGTCGAAGCTTCCGACCTATTCATTCGAGAGCAAAAAAAGCTGGTACGTTCTTGCTCATACATCACTGCTATGAGGAGTCTAGAGAAAGGGAAGGGGGGGATGGTTCGGTGCATTGGCGTTTACTTGGGGGTTTTTCTGCATCAAAGGAGATATGATCCTTGTATGATATATTGGTGCGCAGAATGGAGTCGATTTATAGGCAACAGCTTCTTCGAATTTCCTTTGCTTGGGGGCAAGAGATATATCTGTGTTACTATGGGGGAGGGGACTTTGAAAGCTGGCGCCGGCAGGTTTTGAATTCGATACACACATAATTGTACTAGCTCACGCATGAATTAAAGACCGATGAAACCATTCACCGTCGGATCGCCAGTTGAAAGCCAACATCATTTCACAAGGGCCTACTATCATGGTTGCATTGGTGGTAACTTTTGTTTTTTATTTTGGGTCTCATTTCAAGGCTCTGTTTACCATGACGAGCAAATGTGAAACCCTCCCAAAGCCCTTTAGCAGATGCAAATGATCAATTGACGCCTGAGCAGACCATCACCGCCTTTCTCAATCGAAATCGACCCCCCTTTATCTTCCCAACAACCTAGCATGCCAAGCATTCACTATTGCTCAGCAGGCTCGGCCTCGGCCTCAGCCTCCTCCGCACGAACATCCTGAGAAGCCTGAGCCTGGGCCTGGGCGGCCTTAGCGCCATAGTCCTGGCTGACGGGCTGGACAACAGCCTGCTCCTCCTTGGGCTCGATGATGGTGACGGCATCAGGGAGGGTCTTCTGAGGACCGGCCTTGCCCTCGGGGTCGGCACCGCGCATGATCTTGACCTTGATACCCAGGACACCCTGGCGGAGCAAGACGTGGCGGGTGGCGCTGTCGATGAAGTCCTTGGCGGGCTGGCCGGAGTGGATCATGAAGCCGTCGGTGAACTTCATGGACTTGGCGCGGGCGGCGCGGAGCTTGCCGGAGACGACGACCTCGCAGCCCTTGGCGCCGCTCTCCATGATGAAGCGGAGGACACCGTAGCAGGCGCGGCGGACGGCGAGGCCGTTGAGGAGCTTGTAGCGGAGGGACTCGCACTGGGCGACAGCGGAGAGACCGCGGTTCTGGACCTTGGCGGCGTAGAGGGAGACGGAGTTCTCGGGGAACTTGAAGCGCTTCTGGATGAGGGAGGTGAGCTCGCGGATGCGGCGACCCTGCTCGCCGAGGACCTCCTGGGTGTGGGTGGCGCGGATGATGATGTCGGTGACGGTAGGGGTGACGCGGACCTCGACGCCGGAGTAGCCCTCCTCAGCGAGCTCGCGCTGGAAGAATTCGTTGAGCTCGGCGTAGAAGACACCGTCGGCGACGAACTTTCTCCTCTTGGAGCTGTGGGAAGAGGAAAAGTTAGCAACAATTGTCTATCAATTTCGCCCCGTCTCGAATTTCCTCCAAGATATTTTTTTCCGCCGATGCCATCGCTGAGATGGTGGTGGGGGGTTTTGGAATGCGTTTGTTCGGACAAGCATTCTGCTGGGAAGTCTTTACTCACATCTGAGTACCGGGGTGAGCCATGGTGTATGGTTTTTGAGTGTCGGCCGGTGGAATTGGCTGCGAACTTGGGATGGGCTGGGCGTACAGAGTCGTGGGTGGGTGATTATCGCGATGCACGCTGTATTGGAGTGTAGAGTCTCGTCCCTCAATTTTTCGATGTGGGTTGAGCCCTAACACTTTTCCAACCCTTTTTAGTGCCCACTAAAATGTCCTGTGTCCCATTGAGGGCAGCTGGCCCGTGCGCTGGACCGATGGAAGGATGTCGGAGAAACTGTTTAAGCGGAATGTCGACAGATAAGATAAGGAGCTGTCGCAATGACCCATGTGGGAACCGGGATCGTCATGTACGATCACCAAGAGCGGAAATACATGTATCACTGCTAGAGCAATGCGAATCAAGGAGATAGCTGCTGATGGAAACTGTTGGCATATTTGGATATCACATGCGCATTGCTCTTGTACAGCTTACTCATTTGACTGGCATACGAGTGGCTAACAAGTGTTGGGGACTTGCCCAGGCAGATGGGTACCGCTAAGCAGCCCCAGATCAGATGCCCCTGTCACAGGCCAAAGCAGCTGTGAGCGACTGACGTTTTTTTGGGCTGCTTGCTCAGCTTAATCAAGGCAGCCCTCCAGCCCCGCGCTGGCACCTCCTGCGATACTTCAACAAGACAAGGAATGCACCAGGGATGCTCTAATCAATCTAAATTTTGCCCTATTGCGCATCGTCGGTAGGCTGCGTATCCGTTTCTTCCTGCCGCTTTAGCCTCTGCCCAACCATGTACCGAAACCCAAGCAATTCCCCATCTTGAAAGACAGGTGACGCTTTCCCCAGAGCGATCCGTCACTCACCCATCGGCTTGGCTTCCCACTTATCGGCCCTCCCAACAACAGCATCTGAAGAGCCAGTTGTCGTCTTACGATCTTCCCAAGTCCACATCGTTACACCGACTCTTTTTTTCATAACGGTCATCATTCAAGAGACAGACTTGCATTATCTAGTAGTTCTTGAAGCTGTTACAGACTGCGCCCCGCTTAGCCTCAACCCCCATTGCCTGAGGCGGCGAAGACCACGACGATGGAGGCCCGGAAGGTCCGCTTCGACTCCCTTTGGCTCTAATTTTCGAATACGGACTGGTACTAAATGTTCATCAGGTAGTCGAAGGCGTTCAAGCCATTTACGGGGGCCAACCGACGGATGGAACCCTCCGGTTGACCGACTTCCACCTCGTCTTCTGCGCGCCAGTTAAGCCGCCCACGGAGGATGCCAGCACGCCCCCCAAGACTCGTGAGAAATGGATTCCGTTCCCCATGGTCACGTACTGTGTCTTCCGGCCGGTCCCCCTCACCTCTCGACAAGCTCCCTCGATCCGGGTACGATGTCGGGACTTCTCGTTTGTAACCTTCAACTTCCCCGACAACGACGCCGCCCGCGAAACGTTGAACTTTGTCAAGTCTCGAACATGCAAGCTTGGCACTATCGAGAAGCTGTACGCTTTCAATCATAAGCCTCTGAAGCTGGAGCGGGACATCAATGGGTGGAACTTTTACGATGCGAAGGCCGAATTCCGGAGGCAGGGTATCAGCGAGAAGCTCCCGGACAAGGGTTGGAGGATTACCACCATCAACCAAGATTATTCTTTCTGCGACACATATCCCAGTGTTCTGGTGGTTCCCTTGAAGATTTCGGATAACGTCCTCAAATATGCCAAAGATTTCAGGTCGCGCCATCGGATCCCAGCACTATCTTATATACATCCTGTCAACAACTGTACAATCACCCGGAGTTCTCAGCCATTTGCGGGGCCTCTACGTAAAACAAATATCCAGGATGAGAAGTTGGTCGCCGCGTCTTTCTCAGCATCCTTGAACCCTTCCTCGGAAGACAGCACACCCGTGTCCAGCCAGATCGATTCTTCTGATGAGATCCCTCAGCCACAATTAGAGCTATCTGACACCGAACGTTTTGAAGACGAGCTTATTTCAAAATCAACAACCTTCTACGATGAAGCAACTGGCAAGAGGTTGGTTTACGGGGCGCAACAGAATAATCTGATTGTCGACGCCCGGCCCCAGGTCAATGCAGTGATCAACCAACTCGGAGGCATGGGCTCTGAGAATATTGAGCGATACAAGTTTGCGCAAAAGATCTTTCTCAATATTGAAAATATTCATGTTATGCGCAAATCCCTCAACAGAGTGGTGGACGCTTTGAAAGATGCCGACATCTCTCCCTTGCCGCCCAACCGCGAAATCTTGCGGCAAAGCGACTGGCTGAAACATATTCATGACGTTTTAGATGGCTCTGGAATTATCGCTAGACAGGTTGGGATCAATTCTGCAAATGTACTTATCCATTGTTCTGACGGGTGGGATCGAACAAGCCAACTGAGTGCCTTGTCTCAAATCATGCTCGATCCATTCTACCGTACCATCGAGGGCTTCATCATCCTTGTTGAAAAGGACTGGCTCTCCTTCGGCCACATGTTCAGACTACGTTCTGGCCACTTAAGCCATGAGGATTGGTTTGTTACACAGAAGGATGCGTTTGCAGGGGCCACCGTTCAGCCTGGCGAAAATGATGGCCGCGGTGACGCATTCCAAAATGTACTAAGTGGTGCAAAACGGTTCTTCAATCAGAATTCCGCTGATAACGGAGACGCTGATACGATTAGTGAGCTGGCATCTGGCGAAGTTGTCAAAGAAGAAGCGACCTCACCAAAGATGGTGAGCCCCGTCTTTCACCAGTTCCTCGATTGCGTCTATCAGCTCCAGAGACAACACAAAACTAGGTTCGAGTTTAATGAGCGCTTCTTGAGGCGCTTGCTATATCACCTGTACTCATGCCAGTATGGAACCTTCCTATACAATTCAGAGAAGCAGAGGAAAGACGCTCGGGCTGCTGAGAGAACATCCTCGGTTTGGGATTATTTCCTTTGCCGGAAGCAAGAATTCACCAACCCTGACTATGACCCGACAATCAATGATCATATCAAGGGCCAGGAGCGCATAATTTTACCAAAACTCAAGGAGATCCGATGGTGGTACCAATTATTCGGACGCACAGACGATGAGATGAATGGAGATCTAAATGCTGCAGCCGCTGCGGCTAGCGATAGGCAGGCAGCTGTGTCTAGCCTCCAGTATCCCAGTGTTGCTCAAGCCGATAATGGGACTAGGTCGCCCCCAAGTTTGAGCTCCAGTCAATCTGTTCTAACGGGTGTTGAGTCAGCCCATGATGCTTTGACACCTGAAAACGCCAGGCACTCACTTCGACGAAGTGCATCTGTAGAAGGGCCAAGCCCCTTCTCTGCCATACGGGATGGAATTGCCGGTCTGAATTTAGGCAAGGGACTGCTCGGGAACTTTGGCCAAAGTGAGCAACCTGCAGGTTCTCTGAGAACCAATCGCAGCAATCAGGAGCTGCGAGAGATGACCTAGGAAGTCTGTTTTCCTGAAACGCCCAGTGAAAACGTGTATCACATTGTCGAAACGCAAGACACAATCTATGTCAGGCCAGAGGCCATCGATCACAATTAGGAATTGCTTTTTCTAGGGCAAAGCAACGAAGTAAGCGAGCACAATGGGCCAGCGGTCAGTTTCGGCAATTTTCTCTGAATTAATACAAGCGGCGCCTTATTGCATGGGATCACGCAAGATGAACCAGTCTTTTACCAACTTCTCCTTTGAGCAGCTGTTTTGGTTGCTTGAAAAGTATTTAAATAGGCGCCTTCAACGTTAGAATACAGCGATTTCTCTCCACGGCTACAAGCGGCTAAATGACAAATATAAAATTGAGTCAACTTCTCTTCTACATGCCCCTAGACAAACCCTTGTTGCACTTCCCTCGTGTTAGCAAAGTGTCTTAGGCCTATGAACGATCTCACCATACCATTCTATGTGCCCAGTGCCGATAATTCAGATAGACATAGGTTAATTTGTAGGATTTCTCGTCAGACATCACGGCTACTAGTTATTCTATGTCAAGGAGAGCGCCAAACCTCTGTACAGGATACCATACACTAGAAGATGCATTCAATCAAATGCATGCAGTTCAAGTAAATCGTTGACTCTTTGATATCTTTTGTCTATTTTTGTTTCTTATCTCGATTGTTGAATCTATCACTCATCTTGCCAATCCATCTTGACGTGTGTATCTTCAGTTCCAACAATTCTCGACTCTTAGGTCACGTAGTCTATTGTTTTTCTTACAGGAAGACCTCTAAGTTAATTTCCAACGTGCTCACAGGGTATCTGTTGACTGTTAGCAAAGACCGATCGAGGAATCCAAGGGAACAGGTTGTTTGAAGCGTGAAAACTTACCTCAGATCAAAATTCTCTAGCACGCTGGGGTGCAGGATGCCGAATTCGCCGATCCGTTGCTCCTTTCCATTGAGGCGGAGATGTACAGCTGCAGCGTGGCCGTGGAAGTAGGTGTCCTCCTTGAGCTCCTCGATCCAGTACCCATCTGGCTTTCCGGCCTGTTCGCGGGTAATGAAGGGTGTGCGGAGCATAAGAAGGAGACGGTCCAGGAGGCCGTGGACAATCTCGAAGCCGCTGGACCTTCCGCACCACGCGGCGGCGAAATGGCGCTCGTTTCGTGCCCGTCGTTCAAGAGACTCGTCCTTGAATCCAACATCGGCAACCTCAAAGATCTTCATGGGTAGGGAGTGGCTCTTGTTCTCGCGAATTGTCTTGAGCAGACCTGGCAGGAGGGAGGTACGGACGATCTGGTACTCGAGAGTTTTGGGGTTGGCTAATTTGATCGCCGTCTTTCCATCATCTTTCCTGTTAAGCCAGGCGAAGTTCTCATCATGGCTGCAGAGGATCAGGGGCATCACCTCGCTCCAACCAGCCATGGCTGCCTCGGTCCGGAAAATATCGCCAAGCTTGTTGATCAAAAGAGGTCCGCCGACAGTGGCGCTCCTGTTAGGCTCGGTGCGTGGTAGGTTGTTATAACCCCAGCACACGGCCAAATCCTCCATAACATCGCATTGGTGGAGGACGTCGGGGCGAGTGGCAGGGATGCTTACTTCCAAGATATTCGCATCCTTATCTGATGGCTTGGCAATGTATGCCATCTTGCTCAAAAGCTTAGCAAGGCTCTCAGGTGACTCGTTAAGACCAGTACAGCTGTTAAGATAGTCAATCTCTACAGAAGTTATCCTAGGCCGAAGCGAAGGGGTAATTCTTGTGGAGTCGTTGTGGTCGGAAACAATTTTGACAGGCTCGACAGTAAAAGGCTCGGCGGCATATTCTGAGAACATGGTCACCACCATATCCAAGACGATCTCAAGTTTGGTGGCATCGGTAGCAGTGACCTCGACCAGGATATTCGTAGTGTTCAGGGTGATCTTGGAGTGCTCTCCGTTAATGATGGGTGGCAGAGAGCAAACTATCTTGTTCTTATCATATATAACTGGGTATACGGGCGAATCGCGGATGATGTGCAGGTATCGCCCAAGATGCTTGTCCTTTTCGTAAAATGTCATGAGCTCTTCGCTGTTCATCTCCTTGGTCTGGTTGAGAGGCGCGAACTTGATGTCACGAGGAGGGAGAGCTTCATATGTGAAAGGCCCCTGAACTGTGTCCAAGTCATGCGTACCAATTGCAACCAATGTTCGCTGCCGCGCAAGGTTCTGGTGGAGTTTGTCTTGAAGTGAAATGAAGGATTCGTATCGGTCCTTTGTGAACTTGACGTTGCGCAGGACGGCGCCAGCGATCAAGGGTCGAACTTGGGCAGTCTCGGGCAACACGTTGATGACATACTGCTCCTCGTCCTTTGGCGCAACGACCCGATAGTTGGGTGTAGGGATCCGACCTCTGAAGATGTTCAAATTGAGCGCAATGCCCTCAAAGCAGAGCATGTCATATCGGTTGGCGGGGATCTCGATCTTCAGCTGGGGGGGCTCCTGCTCGCCATTGACAATCGGACGCTCTTCATTTTCGGTGTCTTCGTCTAGTTCGATACCATATTCGAAGCAGAGGTCCTCAAACTCCTCGGTCGTGAATCTTATGAAAGGTCAGCATGTGGTCAAGGTGATGGTCCAGATAGTATGGTGGGGGTTAGGAGGGGCAGGTTTTGCGGTGTCTTGGAGAAGGTACCAACTTTTGACCCAGCGCTTCGTAAAGCTTATACTTGTCGACGGAAATGGTCGGCATTTCGACGGAGACAGATCGCTGGACTAGCCCTTTGCCGTGCAGTTGACTTTGCCTCGCCTTCGAGTGTTGATACGCAGTTTCTCGGGGGGGGGAAGTTCTTGGTGGGGGAAGCAAGCGTTGTGGCACTTTTTTGGTGACTCAACCTCGTGGGCGGAACTGGCTGCGGTACGTACTATCAGGTAGGGAACTCAAGGCCGATAGACGCCAGGCGCCGATTGATGCCCACTGTGAGGCACCCTAGCAGGCAACTGATATACACATGGCATGCCCAGATTTAAAACAACATCAAAACAATCAACCTTGTAATAAATACAATGTCAAGTTGCATGAAGCAGAATACCCTATTATTTCGTTTAGTATTAATAATAAGAAAACGAGGTCCCTGCCTTGCGAGAAACGACATTTGGTGTGCCATGTATTATTTCAGCCACTTGCCTGATGCCAGGGGAGCGGAAGATTGATGCTCCAGATACCCGATTGTTGCTTAGCGCGCTAGTATTGTTAGCAGGTACCAGCTGGTAGGTGCGATCAGGTATCGAAGCTCCAGCAGGCGAGCCCCTAGCCCGCCCGGCCATGTACCCAGGTACCTTCAACAACAGAGCTTGCATCGTGGTTCGCCCAAGTCGCCACTGCTGGCTGACGAGTACATGGACCAGAGCATAGATGTTTGAGCAATGCAGCAGCTCTGCTTTGACGCGACATGGTCAGATAAGATAGTTGTTATTAAGATAGAGGTCGCAAACACCTCCTCAATTGTAGGAGAACACCCTTGCTTCCAATCTCTTCCAGCCGCACCTAATCAGCTGTTCCAATACCTAGGGCTGGGTATCTGCACTGCGGCGAAGGTCGAGGTCAAGCGCTGGTGGCCAGTAAGTACCCTCTACTATGACCTAGAAGCTCCACCAAAGGAGCCTGATGTGCCTTGACCATCACACGTCGTTACTCCCCCCGCCAGCAGACCAACAACTGGCTGGTATTATTACCTTGACCTCATTTCCCATCCTAACATCAACACCGACCTCCCACACGACAAGGGACAACCCACCATTCAAGCTCCCCCAACGCGAGCCTATCTCCAGCACGGTCTCTTGCACGGTCGCCACCAATTATTCTAGGACGACTCTGCTTGTAGCTTTGTGTGTTGGGGTCGAGGGTCCGCTGCGCAAACGATTTCTCGCACTTCTCCCACATCTCTTGCGATCGCCTCCCTCCTCTACCACCTCCCGCATTACCTATTTCCCAATCCCCTGGTATCGACACACGGCAGCCACCTAAAACCCCCTGATCTTCCTGGAACAGTATGGCCGACGCGACCAGTACGAGCGATGAGCTCTATCCCATCGCTGTGCTTATCGACGAGCTAAAGGTGAGGCGGTGACATTTGGTGGAGTCCGAGTCTATTCTGTGTACTGATCCTCAATCAGCATGACGATGTTCTTCTCCGACTGAATGCTATTCACCGGCTCTCAACAATCGCCCTGGCCCTAGGTGCTGAGCGCACGAGGGAAGAGCTTATCCCTTTCCTCGACGGTGAGATTACCTAGAACCTATCTAGATTCGCTAAATCATCCCTTCCCCGCTAACAAACCATGCTCCAGAGTCGGTCGAGGATGAAGATGAAGTTCTGGTAGCTCTGAGCGAGGAGCTCGGAGGCTTCATGGAATATGTCGGTGGTCCTCAGTGGGGTCATGTTCTGCTATCACCTCTGGAGAACCTTGCAGCTATCGAAGAACCCGTAGTTCGAGACAAGGTATGCTACAGAATCAAAATGATGGGCAATTTGCAGTTTGGTCATTAACGACGAACTTAGGCTGTCGAATCCCTCAACAAAATCTGCAACGATCTGTCTCCTCAGCAAGTTGAGGAGTACTTCATTCCCCTAGCAATCCGACTCTCCAAAGCCGACTGGTTCACATCCAAGGTTTCAGGCTGCGGCCTCTTCACAGCCCCTTACTCAAAGGTCTCGCCACCGATTCAAGAACAGCTCCGTCAACAATTTAACCTACTCGTCCATGACGAGACCCCAATGGTTCGTCGCCAGGCTGCTACAAACCTTGCCAAATTCGTCAAGGAGATGCCCGCCCCCATCGTTGTGGACGAAATGATTCCTCTCTTCCAACATCTTGTTTCCGATGACCAGGACAGCGTCCGTCTTCTCACAGTCGAAATCCTCATTTCGATCGCCGAGGCTGTGCCAAAAGAGCAGCAAGCTAGTCACGGCGTCTTGCTCACATCCCTACGCAACTTGATTGAGGACAAGAGCTGGAGAGTCAGATACATGATTGCTGACAGATTTGAAAAGGTATGGATAGATGGGCTGTTTTGCGTGTAACAATCATATGCTGATGATAATTGCAGATTGCCAAGGCTGTTGACGAAGAGGTTGTGTCAAGGGACCTTGTTCCTGCTTTTGTGAAGCTCCTGAAGGACAATGAGGCTGAGGTCCGAACAGCTATCGCTGGCCAGATCCCAGGCTTCTGTGCGCTCGTTGATCGAACCGTTCTACTTGCCGACATAATGAGCAGCATTGAAGACCTTGTTTCTGACACATCGCAACACGTACGGGCCGCTCTTGGAACCCAAATCAGTGGCCTGGCACCCATCTTGGGAAAACAAGAGTATGATTTTCTCATGACCTAGCTTGGCCATAGATTGCTAATCGTGAACAGGACTATTAACCACTTGCTTCCCATGTTCCTGCAGATGCTCAAGGATGAGTTCCCTGAGGTCAGACTTCACATTATCTCCAAGCTCGAGCTGGTCAACCAAGGTAAGCAACAATTTCTCCTCTTCATACCGTAGAAATTGCCTAACCTGGATTGTGTTCTAGTTATCGGCATCGAACTCCTCTCACAATCCTTGCTACCAGCCATTGTGCAACTAGCTGAGGATAAGCAATGGAGAGTTCGCCTGGCAATCATTGAATACATTCCTCTGCTGGCAAGCCAGTTGGGTGTTACGTTCTTCGATGAGAAACTTAGCAACCTGTGCATGAGTTGGTTGGGTGATACGGTCTTCTCAATTCGAGAGGCTGCCACACATAACCTGAAGAAGCTGACAGAGGTGTTTGGCGTGGAATGGGCCAGTGAAGCCATTATTCCCAAGGTGATGGCCATGGGCAACCACCCCAACTATCTGTATAGGATGACAACTTGCTTCGCTATTTCGGTAAGATGGAGATCCAATCCGGACGAGGCATCATACTAATTTCCCATTGCTAACTCTGATATACAGACACTTGCAAGCGTAGTGAGCTTGGACGTCATTGCCAAGTCGGTATTGCCTATGCTGGATAAGATGGTGGAGGATGAGATCCCTAATATCCGTTTCAATGTCGCCAAGACCTACGCTGTCCTCATCAACTCATTGCGCCGTCTGCCTGAGGAGGGCACCCTATACTCGCTCGAGAAGGAAGGTGCCGAGATTGTTCCTTCGCCGCGTGGCCAGGAGCTCATCCAGCAAAAGATTATTCCTAACCTCGAGAAGTTGCAGAAGGATGACGATGTGGATGTTCGATACTTTGCCACGACAGCTGGGGCTGACCCCACAGGAACTGCGGCTGGCGGAGAGCCAATGAATACATCGCCATAGATGAGAGAAGTAATGAAGCAATTCCTGTTTTGCCAAACGTCTATTCCCCGCTTTCATGATCATACCCCAATCGACGACGTATTGGTCAAGACATATCACAATTATCGCATAGAAACACAATGGTGAAGAAATAAACCGTCACGGCCGAAAATGGAGCCATCAAGGGTGTTTTCTGTGGATGATAGGAGTTTGGGATAACGCCCACTCAGCGTAGGTGGGGAGGTAAAGAAAACCGAACGTGGTCATCCCGATAAAAAAAAGGTTCTATTGATGCGGGCGTTCCAGATGCTAGAGAACAGATCCGAGATATTATGTACATAAATCATACTACAGCACCCAAAAGTAAAAACGTAGAAGGGTTCTATACATTATTGGTATGTGAAAACTGGCTCACGCCCTCTAGACTTTATTTACCAATGTCGCAAAGATACTTGCCCAATACAAACTATCACTAATACAGCGATTATGAAACGAAACCAAGGCAATGGAGAGGGGGGACTATGATTTACGGAAGCAAAGTGTAGTGATGGTTTGGCCTTTAACGCCACCGAACGAAAAGGTGCGATACTCAACTTGTCCGTCCATTGCGAAACCGCCCGGGCTTTCGAACCAGGCCCTTAACTCCCTTTCCGTCCAATTACAGCTCGTGATGATGAATAAACCCCCCTGCTTTACCAGCGGGAGCACTCGCTCCCGATAGCCCTCGCAGATCCGCCTACCCTGAGCATCCTGGTTGTCACTCAGCGAGATCGCATCGAATGTACCCTTGTCGAGGATCACGTCCCAGCCGTCGGCCTCCGAAGCGGTCAAGATATCCGAGTATGATCCTGCAAGGATGTCCCACTCCCGAAAGCTCATCCGGGCCACCTCATCCTTGTCGCGACTCGAAGCGATCTGGTTTGCCAGTGCTACGGACTGGGGGCTGTAGTCGACACCGAGCATGCGTCCCGTCCATGGGCCTGTGGGTTTCTCTTGTACTTCGTCATCGCCGTCGTCTTCGTCTTTGTCGTCTTCGTCGTCATCGCCTACTTCCCGGAGAGAGAAGAGTAACGATCCGTTGCCGCAGCCCAGGTCGAGAAAGGTGGTGTCGGAGCGGGACAGTTCGGTCCGTGTAGAGAGGAACTCGAGGATCTTGGCCTCGGCGTCGGAGTCGTCGAACCAGACTGTGCCAATGTCGCTGGGGTTCGAGGAGTTGTTGGCCAGTTCGTTCGTGTAGAGCTTGTTCCAGCTGCAGTTTGCGCAGAGAAGTGTAAGTGGGCAGCGCGAAGAAAGAGCGGGGAGGTGGTCGATCCTTCTTACTATTCTTTCGTGCCGAGCTTCGATGGCTCCAGGTGTGTCGGTCTTTCACTCATCTCGCCTCTGTACCGAAGGGAATATGAATTATTCCAGGTAGAATGGAGTAGTGTTGATTGCTGCGCTGCCGTCTATCGACTTCTGACTGTCCATCACCAAAGAATCATGGTGGGGTGTTCAGATAAATTTCCCTCCCGAAACAGCAAGCGGTGAAAGCTTCATGAGGGGCATGCAGATGGATTCTCCACCCGGCCCTACCAGACTTCCAACTCCCATTGCCCACTGTTCAGGGCCCTTCACAAGTGGATAGGTTGGCACTGTGTCGGATGATTACTCTACAGCAGATATGTGTGGGAGGGAAACCAGACAGAAAGGTACACTTTACTTTCACAGGGAAATTGGCGTTGATCTACACAATTTGATTGGGCATAAATAACCATTGTCATAATTCTAGATGGATGATATCTCCAGAGGATCATTGACAAGCTTCCCTATCACACAACGCCTCCCATGCATACGTGGTAAACTTCACGCTCGCCACATGTCCTACATCGTTCCGAAACATCATTAACGTTGTTGTTTCCCCAAAAAGTACCTTAATATTTGCTAAAAGGTAGGAAGAAACTAGAAAAAAAGAGGCTTTCCTTTCCACCCAACGCCGGGAACCCAAGCGAAGCAACAAGACCATTGACAGAAAGAGATGCGATGAGCTATGATGTGGGTATAAATCGCTTAGTAGAAGCTCTCCACTATCGTATCCTTCATGTTGGTGTTGATGTTGCTGGGTCCGAGTCCCTCGCCGAGGCGGAAGACACTCTCAATGACGCTGAGCTCGGTTGCGGTGGTGTCAAGACCAGTGACGGCAAGCCAGTCGTTGACGACCATGCCGGCGCCAACAACGTTGCTGCCGCGGTTTACCGATCCTGCGACCAGGGGCACTTGCAGCAGACTTGACAGCTCGTCCTGATCTTGGATGCTGGTCTTGGGGTGGACCAGCCCGCCCTGGTTCGATAGGCTCATGTAACTGCCGACCAAGACATTGTCAGCTACCGTCTGGCGGAAGACCTCGACGCCCAGAACATCTGCGATGATCTCTTCAGTCTCGCGTTCGAGATCTGGGTGGATGAGGGCTATGTGATCGTTGGCAACAATGACGTTGCCAAGTGCTGAGAGGCGCTCCTCGATGCGCTGAATACGGACGCTATCCGGTAGCGAGTTTCTCAAGTGCTGCAGCTCTTGGTCTGTGGTTGAGGTGGGGACAAGGAGACCCTTGCGGTTTCCAGCTGTGAGGCGGCCAATGATGCGAGTGCCGGCGATGGTTGTGCGGACTGTGGGGATGACGTCTTGGAGTTCTGCCTCAAAGACGCTGCAGTTCCAATTCCATGGTCAGCCGAGCCCATAGACGGTTCATCCGTCGGGAATTGCTTGGGGGTATAACGAACCTGTAGAAGTTCTCGCTGGCACCAAGTGCTACCAACGCATACGAATTTGTAAGAGTCGCAAAGACACCCACTCTAGAATACAGTCAGTATATTTTGTTTTGTCTCACATCTCTTCGTCTGCCCTCCAGCTCCGAATATGACATTTGCGGTGTGCTGCAAGTTGACGAAGGACCAGGTCACGATGGCGGGGACGGGGTGGTTTGCTCACTCGTTGGAATTTTCAAACTGCGCTCGAACCGCCATGATGGATTGAGATTGCTCCTGCGTCTGCTGTGTTGGGAGTATGGTGGAGAGAATCGGTAAGAACCTGAAGGGTGGTATGGGCTCTCAAGAGGGAGGAGAGAGCTGAGTGCCGGATAAACTGTGAATGTAGAGTTCGAAGCTGAAGATTTTCGTCGTGGTTGCTCTGTATTAATAAGTTGGCAGAGGGAAAAAAGAAGTGGGCACTCGCTAGCGGATTTTATGTATCGCTTCTTGTAGCTCTGCTCGTTATTTAGGCAAGAGAGTACCTGGAGTGACTTGGCAGTCCCTGCGGCGGGGTTCCATCACCAACTAAACTGCAACAGGGTTTCGAGGAGGGGCGGAATGGGCAAAATTAAGAGTCATTGCCAGGTCAATCCACTTTCTGAGCCTCTCACTGTGACTCAACAGGCCGTCCAGTTCCCTTTGCCGCAAATCCAAAGTGTGGCTGGCGCTGGCACTGGCACTGTCACCCCGAATCATTCTCCCTAATCTCTGGGGCGCCCAAGGCTGACAAGGATCCCTTTCAAGGGCTGTCCGCCACAGACGCAAGATTCGCCATTTCGACTCATATCCACTAATGCCACCATTCTCAAAAGAGTTGTAAAGAGCAGCTCGCATGGTCCACATCGAAAAGACCACTGAAGCAATGACCATACACCATCGGAAGTCGTAGAATATAGGTTTCTCTCAGCCCAAACAAGGTCACTATGGATTTCCAAAGCTGTCAGGTTCTTCTCTGATGAGTCTAGACTGCTTTGACCACTACAAAGACATATCAAGACCTCAGATCAACAGTACAAATAGCAGCGTAAAAGAAGAATTCAACCAGATTATGTCCGAGACTTTACTATCATGCAGTTATCCATTTCGTCCATCATGTCCTTACTGGTATTTCAAGCCTTCATATCATCACATGCCTCTTTCATGTCTTTCCATCACCACCTCTGCTTCTAAAACAACCCATTCTACATGTTCGTCTTCCAGTCATTCTGCTGGACCTCAACCAGCCAACCTCCCCACAACTGCGCCTGCCTCTATTTCCACTTTCGAGGTCAACTCAAGTGGCAGGATCTCCATGGCCAAGGTCATCGAGGGTAGTACGTCCACACTGCTCAGGCAGGGCATTGACACTGTCACTCCTCAAGGGCTTGGCTCGCTCCTAATCTTCACAAACTTGCCCTCTCGTGGGCGATTCACAGTGTCCAAACAGGTGCCTTCATCAATACCTGTCTACCACGCACTTCCAGAGCTGGAAATCCGGCGAATCGCACCCTCGGTTCATCTGGGTTGAGTCCCTTGTCAGCACTTGTTGGTTCTAAGGTCGAGGCGGCGCCATCAGTCCAGCTAGATGGAGAGATATCCCCAAGACTGTTCCTCGTCTGGCTAGGATATTGTTCCGTTTGACTCTTACCTTTCTCCTCCTTGTCGTCCCCGGAGTCCGTATCATCCAGAGGAGGTAATGGTGCCTTCTCGATCTCCATTATTCCTGGCTGGACGAGTTCGCCTGGCAGAGGATAAACAATGGCGACATCTCGACTTTCAAGGGGAAGGTTGGCGGTGATTCCAATTGCGAGTTCCACAATCATGGATGCGCTTCCTTCTACTCCAGGCGGAGGAGGCTCATTAAGGTACTGGTAGAGCTCGGCTGTCAGGTTGGAAGTGGACATGGACGTCAGATTTTGTCGATGTTCAGTCGTGGCGGGTGAGTTCAGGACGGAGTTCAGCCCGTCGAGCGTGGCCATCCGCCAATTAACAATCTTAGTCGTCAGTGCGTCAAATTCTTCCTGGCTGTTCAATGTGTAAGCGCTTCCACGAATGTTCAACTCAATTCCCTTGAGATGAGAGCTCAATACAGGGTCCAGTCCAGGATGGAAAACCCTGTCGAAAATCTGGTCCATCAGCCATCGGGAGATAACAGCTCTTCCCACGGCCGTCATCTCCTGTTTGCCAGTTTTCAATGCATCCGAGCTCACATATGCCGCGAGCCAGGGAGGGGCAGCTCGCCAGTCCTTGCGAATGTTGAAGGCGAGGTTGTTGATTGCTCCGTTTAACCTATTGAATCTATTGGAATACTCGCTATCGTCCAGTGCTGTTCTAGATTGGGACATGCGCTGGTTGGCAACTGCATTCTGAAGTTGTTCGATTTGTCGCCCGAAATTCTCGATCTGTGATTTTCCATCGAAATAGAGACGCTTGACATTCTTGTACTTGGTGACTGCCTGTCGTTAGTCCAAGCTAGAAAAGGCGGGCTGCGAGAATGAGGGACGTATTTGAGGGTTTAGGGAGGGGAAGCACAAAGGTCTGTTTATAGAACTTACGTAGGTCTTTAAATGCTTTCTCTGATTCGCCGTGGTCTGGCGGCGCCGGGCTATGGCGTCCGTGATCGCCTGATGTGTAGGGAGTAGGAGGAGGTCCAGGTTGGCCTTGTTGGGGGGCTCCAGGCTGCAGAGGGGTCAACTGGCCGGCAGATGAATTGTTTTGACGGTAACCAGGAGGGGGGCCTGGAGGGACACCTGGGGGGACCTCAGCCTGACTTCGAAGAGCCACAGGCCTGGGCTCTCGGTCGCCGCCAGCAGGCCGTTGGTTGGAGGGGGGAGCTCCCGGTGGCGGGGCCATGCTCGATTGTTGGACAGATGAGCTTGCTAATTGCGCGGGTGCTAAGTTCGGGGTCGAGGCAGGCTCTTGGGTTCGCGCGGGGTGCTCCACGTTTGGCAAGATCTGGGGGGGTTGCTGGTTGTTGGCCCGCTGGTCTTGTTCGGTGGCAATTGGAGACTCGTGAGACACCTGTGACAGCGTTTCAGAATTAGGGTACTGCACGGAGGCGGCAGCAGAATGGGTGTCGGGGAAAATCCGCGGCTCCTCGCCGTGCTGGGGCTGGGTGGGAGAAGTGTTGGCGAGATGATACTGCTGCTGTTGCTGCTGGTCAAACCCAGTGTGGTTGTACCCGTGAGCCTGTTCTTGTGCTTGTGGGAGTGCCTGAGCGTGGGGCGGTTGGGAGGGTGGGGTTTGGCTCTGGGCCTGTGAGTGCTGCTGTTGCTGGTGCTGGTGGGGGGGTGGATGTGGAGGGGGAGCCACCTCTTGTTGGCCCTGCTGATTTGGCTGGCCTTGGTGATAACCCACTTGGTCGTAGGTCGGCGACGAATCAGACTCGGCGTTGACTTGCCGTATAGTCGGGCTTTCAACAAGGTGCTGGGCCGAGGGCGATTGTGTTGATTGAACTGGCTCGGGGCCAGTATATTGGTTCTGGGCAGATTCTCCAATGCCTGCTAGCGAAGCGGGCTCAGCTCCCTGCTGGTAGACTTGGCCTGGGCCGACAATTGGGCCTGGACCGTGCCAGTCGCGATCCGAGGGGTTCGGGCTTGTATTGGGTGACTGGGTTTGCGAATCAAGGAGGTTGCTCGCCCGGCGGGATTGTCGACGTGCCAGACCCACGCCGTTTTCGTAGGAGAGAGAGCTCTGACCTCGATGATGTCCGAGTGTGAAGCCGTGTGATGAGGACTGATGCGGATCGTTATGGGAACGGCTATTGCTCGAAAAAATGCCCTTGATGAAATTGCGCCTCGACCGTTTCTCGGGAGCTGGAGAGGAATTCAGCTGGGGGGACGGGTTGGGATGGTGCCTTGTTCCAGGTAGGTCATCCACTGAGGCAGATCCGATACCGTGTGCAAGTTGGTTGCGCAGGTGTTGATGACTCTGGTGCTCCAAGGGCTGCGGTGGTATAGAGGCGTACGAGCTGAATCGCTGGGTTTGACTCCGGTGGATAGGAGACGGCGTAAAGCCAGGATTTCGCCCGCCTTCGAGGACTGGAGATTCGCCTGGGCCTACGATGGGCGAGGCAGTATAGGGCTGCGGCTGCTGCTTATATGGCGGAGGAAGAGGAACGCCACTAATTGCAATGCCAATGTCAGTCGGGAGCGGCTGCGCTGGCGCCAATTGCTGAGATGGAGGCAGTTGTGATGCTGGGGGTTGGTGTGCAGCTCGAGGGTCGGCGACAGACGACGACTCGGTGTTGGTGGCGGTAGTGTTGGTGGTGTTGGTGGAAATGACAGAAGGAGGTGCCGTGGTATTTGACGGCGATGGGTCGGTCGCGCCTTGAGCCTCGGCGTGGTTGTGCGTATGGATATGCTGGTTAGGTCTGTGGAAGTGGTGGTGGTTGCTTTGGCTTTGGCTCTGTCCAGGAGGCAGATGAGGGCTTGGGTTCAGACTCGAGCTCTGGGGCTGGGCCTGGTTCGAAGAAGTAGCCTCTCCTGTTCCTCCCCCGGCGGCAACAACAGCGGCAGCGGGAGCAGCCGGCAGGTCGACAAGGGCTTGTTGGGAACGGTTGCTGTGTCTGCCGAGACGAGGGAAAGGCGGCATGTTCGACCGCAATCGAGCGTCTTCAGTCGAAATCAAACCCAAGCAGGAATCGGGAGGACAGATTAGGGGGAGCGGAGCGGGGGGGAGGGGGGAGAGGGGCGTGTGCAGTTCGGTGATGATAGGCAGTGTCCAAGCAAGCTAGGTAGCTATTTTTATGGGGTCCAGTCCAATTGACCGTGTTCTGGCCTCCGTCCAGGCGAGCTGGGGGAAATCCAGGTCAGACGATTGGGACGCTGCTGCGGTGCTGGGCTGTGCGGTACCGTGATATACAATAGCCCGTGCTATAATTAATGCGCAGTTCAGTTCTGTCCCAGTGGTGCAGTGGTGCAGTGGAGGTCGCTGGGCCCGGGTTGTTGTAACGGCGAATCTTGGCTGCACCTGCGCCTCGACTGGCATGCATCGGCCCTATGGCTTTTTTCTTTTTTTTCGGCCGTCCTCCTCTCACACCACGCAACGGGCTATCTTGCGCTCTTTCCCTTCTCTCCAGAGAGCATCCCTAAATGGGAAATGAGGCGATGTGGCTTCGCAACAACTGGCCACTTGAATAGCTGGGCCAGGCCGGTGGGGGCTGTGCTCCCTGGCGCTGCGTGGGTAAGACGAGCGAGCACGCTGAATGAGACCTGTCAGTGCGGGCGGCTGAGCTGATGTGTTGCGGCGCGAGGCGGTCAGATTGCGGCGTGGTGTAACGGCGAAGACATTGGCAAGTCAGCGGAGGAAGATATTGGTTGGATAGATAAGATGGTTGGACCAGATCCCCAGTGGCTTGCTCGAGTCCTCGTTCGTCTCAATTCTTCGGTAAGTATGATTAATGCTCCGGCACGTCTACTGCAGGTCGGGGCTGGAGGGATCGGCAGAGGAGCGCCAACAACGGCACGCTGGAGTGAATGTATCCGAGCCCTGGCCCTGCCAATACTGTAACGTGTATAAATACCTATACGCTAGGACATGGGTAAAATGCCGCTGTTGGTGAGTGAGGGCAATCAGCGTGAGTCTCTGATCAATGGGCGGAACACGATATGGCCTTGAACCTTCTGTAAGTGGGTAGGTATTAGCAGCCTTGCAATATCCTTACTAGCCCCGCTAGTGAGATGTGCTGACATGGATCCCAAGATATTCTCACGAGATACCTGCCATTATTACTGCCAGTAATTTCCCCGCACAGCCTATTAGGTGCTAGACCTTCTAGTGGTGCCCAGACCACGAGTTTGGATTGTAAGTCAGACTGCTAGCCTTCTTTGAGCGGGCGTCCTGAGCCATTTCTAGCTGAAAACCTGGGTTTTTAGAAGAAGGTGGCCGTACTATACCGGTTTCGCTACCTGGATCACCGGAATTGGCCATGTGCTGATGATACAACCTGCGATGCCTATCAACTGCTGCATGGTCCCATTGAGAGGCGACAATTGGCCAATATTATGACATGGGCTGTCGCTCAATTGTGGGCTTATTCGATTAAGGCTACCTGAAATTATGTCATTCACCAGATGCTATTTTTGGCCATGTTCCCGCATCCCCATGCGTGTGGTCGCTACGCTACCCTACAGATCCACTATGGACAACTCACTCTTGCTGCTAATTCTACCCTTTTCTCCATTTTGGAGTGAATGTTACCCTTCTCTTCCTCTTGTCGTCTTCTATGCATGCCTGGTGGGGTTTTCTGACATACTCGCATCCATATTTTGTTCGTTGTTTATTCACCGGGCTTGTCTGTAGGCCTGCTTGCGCACCTGGTCACATGCCGGCCCCATTATCGGAAAATAGACCACTGGATTGTTTCCCATACAACGCAATCACATGTGATACGCTACCACGCGGTAGGATGCAATAGCCTAGCAAATGGGCGTAAATGAAGAGGAGGCTTTGGCATAACTTCAAAAGCAAGGAACAGAACGGAGAAAGTTTACAAACACAAACTATAGTACAGAACTTCTTATTCATTTACTTTCATACCAAGTTACTTAGTAATGCCAATCCAAGTAAGTAGACCGAGCGTCAGTTTCTATGCCATTCACCTATTCGGAAACATTTGAAGCCACTTATTCTGAAACCTGAGAGATATATCTACTGTCACAGTAGTATTGTTCCACTGCTGATCGCACGTGAGACGTCCCCTCCCGAGAAGAAAGTGCAGGAACTGGGTGATGTTGAGTGTAGTATTTCGACACACTAAGATGTCAGGGAAGTCCAATAGCGAGAAATGGCATATTTCTGCTTGGTTATTGTAGCTTCAGCGATTTTAAGTACTGAGGGGCTGCCTACCTACCTACCTAGGTAGGTAGGTACTTGTGCACTTTTGATAAGTTAGGTAGGTAGGTACCTAGTAAATTGCAGGTGCCTAAGGTATTTTGGCACATTTGTAGAACTTGTATTGATTTCTCTTATTTGTACTGTAACTAGCAGCCCACGATTCCCACGAGCTCTCACAACCACGGGAGGGGGCCTTTGTTCGGTCTTAACCTGAAAAGGTCTGGTGATGCCTCATGAACCGTGCTACTTGGTGCTTGTGGCTGGGTGGATGAATCATACTATGAAACCGAAGAAGCATTTGACAGACACAGACTTTGACGAAAAGATACCTCTGTCACGTTTCATCAATATCCAGTACTCCATACCTCCATACCCAGGCTCCCTCAGCGTTGTGTTCATACATAGGCGCCGAAACAGGGCAACAACAAACATATACCTGTCGGGTGGGCCTCCCTTCATTGAGACTGAGTCGCGCATGTTCATCTTTCAATCACGGGCCAGTGTGAGGCTTGCCCTATTCCTTGCCGGGAAACCTTTGTGACGCCTTGAATGCTTCGGCCGGGACTGATTGGCCAAGCACTGGGGCGCGCCCATACCAGTAGGCAGGTAGTTGGTACCTGAAGGATCTCGCAGGTACATGCGTGCGACCTGTCGGAACGACCCCTCCATTTAACCCGCTCCCCAATTTCAGCGCTAGCACAGTGGGCGTAGGTACCTGGCCGGTACTTCCAGCGCGCTCCCTTCCCCAGTTTGCCTGCCTTGCGCCGCTGTAACTGCTGTAACGCCCTATGTGGCCCAAGGTAAAAACCGCCACACTCGGGCTTAGGTAGGTCCTGTTGTTCCGCCCTCCACTCACTGACACAGAGGTACATAATCAAAGTTGTTCCTCTTTTTCTCCTCCCACCGGAATAAAAATTTCCTCACCCAGTTCCTGACTCCAACACAACAACAACCTGCCCTCGAAAGCCGGTTATTTCACTGCGTATATCAACCAAAAGTTGCCTGTTGACACGGACCCCCCCCGGTCGCAGAGTAAAACAATACTTTCTTCCAGCTCAGACAGACTGCGATCGTGTTCATCGTTGCAAAAGCTTCGACTGCCCTCCATCGCCCTTGACGCTACATCGTCATCTGTCCCCCAACCGGCCCCCTCGGCACAAGCATCACATATCGACTAGTAACGCATACATTTCTGTTTATGTATCAGCACGATAAAGTCACCGTGTCCAGACACCTCTTCAAGCTGCAGTTATTTCGCATACCGCGGAAACCTAGTAGCCCCGACATTTGTTCCGACGGTTGAAGTTCCTAGAATCGATTCATGTCGCCCTTCTGCAAACACGACACTGTCCAGTTTGCCCTTATGTTCATCAAAAATCGCCCTCAGCTCTGATACCTTCACTCCTCGTTCAGCCCTCCTCGACTTCTCTTGCTACTTGTAGACTCTTCATGACGCCTCCCTGTTCATAGAGTCCCAACCAACCTCACCAAAACAGCCTCGCCTTATTTATCCATCTACCACAACACCCACTCAATCTCGTCACCATGGCTCTCGTCAATGTTCGCCGCGACGTCAGCGACGCCTTCTATCGCTACAAGATGGAGCGTCTCCAGACAAAGATTGAAGGCAAAGGAAACGGTATCAAAACCGTTGTTGTCAACTTACCCAGCGTTGCCCAGTCTCTCGCTCGCCCTGGCGCCCATGTCATCAAGTACTTCGGTTTTGAGCTGGGTGCCCAGACTAATATGGACCCCAAGGATGACCGATGGATCATCAACGGTGCTCATGACGCAGCTAAGCTTCAAGACCATCTCGATGGCTTTATCAACAAGTTTGTCCTCTGCAAAAAATGTAAGAACCCAGAGACCGACGTTGTCATCAAGGATGGCCATATTCTCCTCGACTGCAAGGCTTGTGGTCAGCGCACCGATGTTGATCTCCGTCTCAAACTGAGCGGCTTCATCCTCAAGAACCAGCCCAAGAAGGGCAAGAAGGACAAGGCCGAGCGCAAGGCGGCCCGCAAAGCCAAGCAAAATGGAACCGCAAACAAGGAGAACGGTCACGCAAGTGGTGAAGATGGCTCCGAGAATGGCTCCAATGGGAATGGAGATGATGGTGATGCTGGCTCTGATGATGAGTTCCAGAAGATGCAGGCTGAGGCACCTGAAGTCGACGTCGAGGCTGAGGTCAAGGACCATGAGTGGTCTGTTGATGTAAGCGAGGAGGCCGTCAAGGCTCGCCAGGCTCAGCTTCCAGGCGAGTTCAAGCAGAAGCTGAGCATTGAAGACGATGAGGAGGGTGGTGGCAACACCATCTACGATGAACTTGGTGATTGGATCCAAGCACAAGCTGCAGAGAAGGGTGGCATCGACAACGTTGATTCTATCAGCATCTATGTGAAGGCAAAGGAACTGGGCATCGAGGCTAAGTCTCGCACCATCTTGGTTTTCGCCCAGACTTTGTTTGATCAGAATATCTGCTCCCAGATTCCAAAGCGTGCTAGCATGCTTAAGCAGGTAAATCCTTTCTCCTATTTTTCCACCGTGGTCATGTTCTTCCAATACTAATGTTCCTCTAGGTTATTAACTCGGAGCGTCATGAGAAGGCCTTGCTGGGTGGAACTGAGCGTCTCATTGGGCAGCTTGGAACCGAGCACCCTGGACTTTACGACCAGATTGTCAAGATCCTCCAGCTGTACTACCATCACGACTTGGTCAGCGAGGAAGTTTGTATGGCGTGGGGCTCTAAGGCGAGCAAGAAGTACACGGACATTTCTATTTCTAAGAAGGTTCGCAAGGCTGCTGCGCCATTCCTTACCTGGCTCCAGGAAGCTGATGAGGAAGAATCTTCCGATGAGGAGTAAATGGATACTTTATTTTGTTGTCTGCACTCAACTCCGCTCAATCTGTTCTTCTGTTCGATGCGTACTGGCTTAGCGAAGTGGATGTTGGCTTGTTTGGGATTCTACATGTTGAATAACACAGGAATCTCTACTGGTTATATGCAGCCGCCGTACAATTAGATTATTAAGTTAGAATGCCATGCAGTTTTTCATTATGAAGGCACATCGTACTATGGTGAGATTTGAGGGTATCTAAAATTCATGATGTCGCTGAGAGTATGCATTTATGTATCCTGTGGTGAGTAGTCGCCCAACATCAAAATCGCACATCTTGCGGCTGATATCCATCGTCCACCTCCGAACTCAGTTTCGTGGTGACTTTATGCCGAATCATCTGTTTCTTCTTGCTCCCTAGCCTTCGAAATGAACTCCCACAAGCTTCCCACTGCTTGATCAACATCTTCAAAACTGATGGTTGTGTTGAAGAACTCAGGAGCCTTTGTTTTGGCCTGTTCCTCTGCGTTGTCTGTAGATCCATCGGCGGTTGTGTCCATGTCTGTGTCTGCTGGCTGCTTCTGAGATGGGCTGATGAAAATGTACCGTGCTTGGTAGCCCATGTCTTTGGCGAATTGAGCTGCCTGTACTGATTGTTAGAACAACTGATAGAAGAGGGGGTTATGGAAGGGAAGGGATTCGGGGAGCAACGTACCTCGACATCTAATTGAATGATGGGAATTTTGTCATTATCGGAAATCGCATCAATGACCTTGATACTTGTACCGTAGCTCACGTCCGATGCTTCTGTGAATTCAATAAGACGATCACCGTCGCGTAGCTGGTTGAATTCGGGGGTTTTCACAAAGTAAAAGTCCTTGCCATTGACTTCGCCCTCATTCGGCTCGCGGGTTGTGTGACGGACAACCTTCCCGAAAACGCCCTTGTGAGAACTCGACAGCTTGTCAATGATGTCGGGTAGATTTCCCTGCTCAGAGCTGGAAACAATGATGGGCGATCTGTTATCAGGAAGGTCCTCAGTCTCGCCGTTATCATTGTCTCCATCCTCTTCGCTGGGTGCTAGGAAGACCGGATTGATGTTCTGTGGGTCGTCGATCTTATCAAATGATGCTAACTTGAACTTGCCAGCGACTCGCAAGGCCCTCCAGCTCTTGCTGGCTTTGCCAGCTACTGCCGTCGCCTTGTTGAGGTCATTTGATGCCATACTTATCGCAAAGTCGTCATCAGCAATACCAGTCTTGAAGCTGTCGAGTTCTGGTAGTCGGTGTCGTTCAGGCTCTTTGAACTTCTCGAGCGACTCTTCTCCATCTACTGGTTGGAGAAAGTCTAGTGATACAGCACCCATGGGGTTTGGCCGAAGTCGCTTGCTTGTCGCAGACCTCTGAGCTGATGACTGGGCATCGGCATATGTCTGGGGGTTAACAGGATTTCGGGTAATCGTGGGACAGCTCGCCATCTTCCAATACACCCAGTTCTTATCCCTAGCGAGAACAGTATCGACCATCCGGTAAAATATCCTTCCGGGTGTGTCCCTCCTCATATGGTCGGAGATTTTGGTCTTCATCCCTTTGGCCCATTTCGCCTAGAATAGGTTAGATACTAAGTCCATAGACAGCCGATTGTGCTCGTACTCACATCATCGTCATTGAACTCGGCCGCATACAGGACCGATTTGTTTTGTACATTCAGCTTGTCGTACTTCTTCTTTGCCTCAGCGGTCCAAGATAAGATGAAGTTGAGAGTAATGAGAGTTTGTACCATGATATGGCGTCTGAAAGTGAGATCGCTGATCTGTGGATAAAATTAGTTGATGGAAGCTTTAAGCTGAACAGGAAAAGGGGGGGGCACCTCTAGCTCAAATAAATCCTTGCTCGTAAGATACTTTGGGTTGAATGCTTCCAAGAGTCCTTCTTTTTCTTCGTCTTCTCTCTTTCGTTTGAGACCGGTTTTGGTCTCATCAGAAGGGTTCGGCGTTGGTAGTCCCTCATCGGAAGGATAATCTGCGAACCTTTTGACCGTTTCTTCAATACCACGTTTGAAGCTTTGCATGCAAGACTGGTCAAAGAGCTTCAGAGGTTGGCTGAACATTTCTTGAAGAGGCCAGAATAACGGATATAATGCATCCGAGGATAACACCTCCTTCTTGGCCTGCGTCCCCCCCTTGGTACTTTCCTTCGGTACTTCTGTTTGGGGAGTATCGACCTCCATTTTCGAATCTTCATTATCGATGGTTGACTCAAAAGTTGTTACATTGTCGACATGGTATTCGCCCCGAAGGTTCACTGAACTTCTGTCACCCAGGGGAAAGCTCTGGAAAAGAAAAATAAAGACCCTGCCGCAAAAGGCCGTATCCTCCGCTCTGGATAGCCTCCTCAGTAGCTCAGTACACATGCGCAAAACAATAAGACTCCATTTTTTGAAGGTTCGTTCTGGTGTGATGCGTTCGCGTCTGGATTCAAGGTAATCGAATATTACTCGGCATTCAGCGATCGTCTTGCTCTCAACTAGCTCTTCGATGAGCCAGAACAGCAATCCCGGATCGCATTGTCCATTGTCGGAGATGATTGTTAAAATGTCGAAGAGATTCCATATTTGAGTAATGTCGGGGCTGTTGATTGATGTCGAGGTCTATCTCTCGCTGTCAGTCCGGCCCGGGGCGGCATTCGGAAGTTCTGCAAAAAGTTTCACGTACAACAAGCTTGCCAAAAAGGTCCCGTGCCGCAGTCTCGACGACTTGCCACCGGCGATCTTTCAGCTGCTCTTTGGTAGAATCATCTCCCTGCTCGGAAGGCGAGGGCGTGACGTGGGATAGCGAGGAATCGACGCGTGTTGAGATGCTGTCTAGGTCGGCTTTCGTCACCGGAGGATCAATCCCCGAAGAGTGCGAATTCCCTTGAGCTGGGACCTTGATAGCTGTTGCTTCATCTATGAGATCATTGAGAAGAGCGCCAAAGTCTGCGATCGCGCTCACGCCAGGGTTGCTGATGTCCAAGGCCGGCATTGTTGAGTCTCGCGAGGTTGCTAGCTTTGGCGATGGCACATGGATCCTGTTCGTTGAAGGTTTGAGAGCGATCCCTGGAATAGATGGTTCTTTGTATTTAATATATCATATTCGAAGAAGGCTGCATCGGATGCGGCGGAGGGGAAGAATTGTGGGTGAGCCGAAATGAGGTTGGAAACAAGGAATGACTATCGGGCTTTCATTGGTGTTGAACATTGAAGCTTTCAATATGGAAGACAATGCACGACCCTGCCAGAATGAATGAAATGCCTGCTAACACCTTGCCCACAATAGAATGCAGGTACTAAGCGACTAGGTACTGGGCGCGTATCTCCACCCTGATTACACGCGCCTAATCGCAAAAAGATACTTTGTGGATACTACCTCTGATGACATACGAGCGATAAGATAAGACCCTCTAATTTGAGGTACGAAGGTACCTTTATGCGAGCTTGAATTCTTCAGGTTTCGTAGCTCAGCGTGTGAGCAGTCTCCAGACCCGCGTCTTCCTCGCCCGAATATCGCATTAGCCCTTCGAGGGGTTCGGGAACGAATCGAACACTCGATGATAGCGAAACGAGTCCGATATGCCGAATTCGAAGAGGCTCAAGGGCAGCGGTGCTGCCAAGCCCCAGAAACCAGACCCGTCGCATCGGAGCAAGTTGGAGAATGCTCGCCCAACTCCTGCTGAAGTTGAGGAGGAAGAACACCCATTTGTGCAGCTGGCGCGAAAAAGCTGGCTCAAGTCAGGCAAGAAAAATGGCCCAGTCAAAGTGAAGAGCGACGTTTTGAAGCAAGGACTCTGGGATGTCCTGGAGCGCGAAGGTTTCCAATACAAGTCTTTGCGATTGCTGGAGAGCTTACAGACATTGGAGAGGTATGTTAGCCTTATGCTTGGGAGATCTATCTTCAATTGGCTTACTGAATGGACTTTAGTTACCTGTGGCCTGGTTACACTGAGGAGTCCTCCAACTTTCATGTGCTTTTGGTCGCGTTGATCATCAATGTCAAACGCCGAGAACAACTTGTGACCTGGTGTAGGTTTTACCTGTTGCAGGCACCTTTCTCGACCCAATGCTGATTATGTGAATAGCTATTTTCGAGAGCAGGCCGGCTGAGTTCTCTTCCATATTTCGGCGCATCATTTCACTGGTCTTAGATCAGACTCTCGCCACGACCATCAGAACACAACTGCTCGATTTTCTTATATATGCCTTCCAGAGCCTTGATAGTGGCATTATTCGAAAGGAGTGTGCTCCCTTGGTGTCCATAGGCATCTGGCATAACCTTTCTTCTGATGAAGCCCGGGAGCAACACCTTAATGCTAACACACAGCTAAGAAAGACATGGAGGGCTGCGAGCAAGCGCTTTGATAAGGCCGACGAATCTGCGCGAGCCAAGCTTCGATTTGAAAGATCATGGCTGTACACGCTCCTTCTTGGTTTTCTGAACATGCTCTATCAGGCTGAGAGCACACCTGGTAAATACTCTTGCCTTATTGTTTGCTACCATACCGTCAACTAACTGGTCTACATAGAAGAGACACTGTTTTGTGAGCGCTTTACGGAATTTCTTTCGGATTTACAAAGCCAACTGCCCACCCGGCGATACGTGAATACTCTTCTCTCGGACCTCCATATCATCCCTGCCATAAAATTGTCACCAATGTTTAATGAGGAAGACAATGGGCTTCTGCGAGAGCTGCACGCGCTCCTCGCCCACTATACCTATTTTACGATTGATGATCAGACTGGCATGCAGTTGAGTAACGGCGAAGCGTACGACAAACACTGTGCAGGTCTAGCCAAGCTCCAGCGAGTTTCGTTGAAGGATTTCAAAGATAAGCTTGCTGTTCTGGCACTGTCTAACTACGGGTCCATCGACAAGAGGGAAGAACTCCAATCATTGCTCGAGCCGCTGACAGATGAAGAAATACTGCGATTGCTTTCTTCATTATCCTTTCGGACAACATACCCAGAAACTTTGCAGATGCCATTGAACCGCAAATTCTATTTGGAGGTAATCCTGTCTGCTTTTGAGAAAAAGGAAACGTATCAGGACACAGCCAAGAGTACTGCAGTAGTGCCAACAGAGAAACTTCTCTTTGATGGCAGCTTTCAGCGTGCAGACTCTTACGATGGATCTCACCCCCTACCATTGCCAAAGCTAAATTTACAATATCTATCGATTGGAGACTTCTTGTGGCGGGCTTTTGTCCTATATCGTCGCGAATCCTTCTATGGTATCCGCAAGGACATCGAAACTGCAATGCGACGTCTCCGGCCAGAAATCAACCGCTCGGGCGGCACCGGCTTTTCTGGGTTCTCGAAAATGGCCCTGCCTATCTCCCCCCCAGCGTAAGTTTCAGTGAGTTTTTTGTCATGGATTGTGCTAATATCGATGTTAGCATTTTGGAAGCTGTCCCGCCATTAGTAGGCGATGATAAACCGTCATTGGTGCGTGCCGAGGTTACAGTTGATGTTCGGCGTCTGAATGAAAACATTCTTAAGGAGTGGGATTCGTTACGACAAGATGATGTTGTTTTCCTCCTTGCTGTTGAACCCCCCCCATCCAATTCTGCCAATGACGGTAGCGTGGCGGTGGCTGAAAACGAGGCATTGGGTGTCTTGGCTGTACGAACGGCCGTTATTGCTCAGATAACGGACGAGAAAGGTCGCCATGTTAGGGATGGCAGCTCGGGCCTTGATAAGAAGCGACGCGTACAGCTTAGACTAGATTCACGGACATATGCTCGCGATGCCGAACGGGCCACTGCTGGGAAACCGGATATTTACAAACAAGTCAACCTTCTGCTACGACGCAATAGAAGGGAGAACAACTTCAAGCCAGTCCTTGAATCCATCCGTGGATTGTTGTTGTCAGATGTCCCGCTTCCCTCTTGGCTTCACGAAGTTTTCTTGGGCTATGGTGACCCTGCGGGTGCACATTACAAGAATCTTCCCAATCGGATCAAGAAACTAGATTACCGAGATTCCTTTCTTGACTGGCATCATCTCATTGAGACACTTCCAGGCAAAACGGTCGAGCCAGGTGATGAGGCTTCCGGTAGTTTTGGGCCCCCATACATTCTGGAAACCACAGAAACAGAAGCCGAACAGCCAGGCAAGAAGCCATCCAAGAAACGTCGACGGGATGCTGAGCCAGCATTGAAGTCCGAAGTGGAGACGTTGAAGGTTTCGACGTACACTCCTCCTAATAGGGGGCCTTTCCCCGTGGATGCACCACGACTGAACACTATACGGTTCACTGCAAAACAGATTGAAGCCATCATGTCCGGATCCCAGCCTGGGCTCACAATTGTCGTTGGGCCACCTGGTACGGGCAAAACAGACGTTGCGACGCAGATAATAAACAACATCTATCACAACTTTCCCGAGCAAAAGACACTTGTGGTGGCTCACAGTAACCAAGCACTGAATCAGATATTTGCCAAGATTGTGGCTCTTGACATAGATGAGCGGCATCTACTCCGTCTTGGCCATGGCGAGGAGGAACTTTCCACGGAGGCCAGCTTTAGCAAACATGGCAGGGTCGAGTCATTCTTGGATAACCGTGATAAATATCTGCTAGAGGTTAGGCAACTGGCTGCTAGCCTCGGCGCGCCCGGCGCTCATGATAACTCTGCCGAGACAGCTGGATACTTCAATATGGTGTACATCGAGCCTGCATGGATGCGTTTCTTGCAAGTCGCTTCCTCTGAAGAATCCAGCGCAGCCGATATTGTTCAATCCTTCCCTTTCCACTCATACTTTGCTACTGCACCCCAGCCTTTATTCCCAGCCGATGGGGATCGAGCAGAGATCCTGGATATAGCTCATGGATGCTATCGACACATTTCCAAGATCTTCTCCGAGCTGGCAGATATCCAGCCGTTTGAGGTCTTACGTCGTGATCGTGACAAAGCAAACTACTTGCTCACCAGCGAGGCGCGAATCGTTGCCATGACGACAACGCATGCAGCGATTAAGAGGGAAGAGATTGCAACGCTCGGCTTTCACTACGACAACATAGTCATGGAAGAGGCTGCCCAAATCACCGAGATAGAGACCTTTATTCCCTTAGCAATGCAGAAGCCAGAGAAGGGCGAACTGAAATTGCAAAGGGTTGTTTTGTGTGGTGATCACTTCCAAAACTCCCCTGTGATTCAGGGTATGGCATTCCGACACTATGCCAATCTGGAGCAATCTCTATTTTCCCGTCTCGCTCGGCTGGGGGTCCCTACAGTCATGTTGGATAAGCAAGGCCGTGCCCGTCCATCCATCGCAAGCCTCTACCAATGGAGGTACCCAGAACTGGACAACCTGCCTATTGTCCGCCAAAGTCCGGAGTTTTTGAAGGCCAATGCTGGATTCCGATATGACTACCAGTTTATCAACGTCCCAGACTATCGGGGCAAGGGCGAGTCAGAACCCACGCCACACTTCATCCAAAATCTTGGAGAGGCTGAGTATGCTGTTGCTATCTATCAATATATGAGACTACTCGGGTATCCAGCAGACAAGATCTCTATTCTTACAACCTACGCTGGTCAGCGAGCCTTAGTGCGGGATGTGTTATCCCACAGGTGTGCTAAAAACCCTATATTCGGCATGCCTAAAGCAGTGGCGACAGTGGACAAGTATCAGGGCGAGCAAAACGACTGTGAGTGTACTTCATTTGCCTCTCGGCTTTCTTTTTATTGGGAGCGCTATCATATGCTAACTTAGGCGCATCAGATATTATTCTTTCACTTACCAGAACATCGAGGGTTGGATACTTGCGCGATGTGCGTCGTATGACTGTGGCAGTATCTCGAGCGCGCCTAGGCCTTTACATCTTGGGCCGACGTGAGATTTTCGAGGCGTGCCATGAGTTCCGTCCCACCTTTGACATTCTCCTACAAAGACCAGACAAGTTAATGCTTGTAACGGGGGAGTTATGGCCTTCGCAAAGGGACATATTGGGAGAAGATGGCGGTTCAAAGGTAGACGGGGAGGTGGCGATGGAGGGCGTGGAACATTTGGGGCAATATGTCTTCGAAATGAGCAAGACAAAACTTGAACAACTGCAAGGTACAGTGGCTACTGAACCAACTATTATTGAAGAGGATGAAGAGGGCGATGAGGGGATGGACAACGGCGAGGATGAGGAATAAGATCCCTTGAAAGATACCTTATTTACTTGGTATGGAAGTTGGATGAATAGAATGAGAATCTCGCAGGGGAACTTGCTACTTTCTGAACAAAGTACCTGCCTATATTGGGGAGCGGAGGGCTCCGGGCATTGTTGCCCACCAGCAGTCATTCATTGTGCCTATTATTCCGGGCTGGTCACAACCGGTGCTAGGAGCCCCATTGAGAAAGAAGCGGGTGGGATTTTTATTAGTACACAAGTCCAGACTACCTACATATAGATAATATTTGCAGTGCTTTCCGGTCATTGGAAAGACTTGATATTCCAGACAGGCAGCAATCGTGCACCCGAGTCAGTTGATATCCTTTGTTTTAGCGCTTATTGCGAATGACACTCAAGTCGATGTGACTGATCTGGCCCTGCATGCATGCATGAGAAAAGCATTTTGGATAATGAGCAAAGCAAAAACTGGAACCGAGAACCTTAGTGAACAATAGGGTTTCTTGCTTCTGGTGGCGTTACACATGGCAAATCGCAAATCAGCCCCTCGGGGATTGAATGACTCACCTGCGCTTATCTAGGCTGGCTTGGCCAACACAACATACGTAACTACATGCCATACCTACGTGCGTAGCCTGCTTGGATGACCTGCATTACTCATTTGCGGCATCTGCCAGTCAGATCATGTCTGGGACGAGGCGCGTGGGCCCCTTTCTCGGGCCTCTGCAGGCGCTTGAAACTCGTTAATTGCGACTCGGACTTGGGAGCAGGGAATTGGGCACGGATGGGCATTGAGGCCCGCTGCCCTGATACTGTATTTCAGTGGTCGTAATAATAGATGCTTGACGCTCAGTGTGCGGGTACGCTAGTACGGACTGGTTCTGATAACTGGAGACAAATCGTCCCTTCCTACCTCGATCAGAGCACCACCTCAGGACTATTAATTAATAATTCCCACGCAGGTACATGCCCAAGGCCACCTACGTGTGCGCTGCATAACAGGTATGTGGTGCCAGCCCCGGGCAAGGCAGGTGAAAGTGGCAACTGGGTGATGTGATCCTGGTAGGCTGTGCGGGCGATGATAGAGAGCCCAGGCAGCCAGATGTGGATGAAGGGCTATTTGGTTAAGGGTCTCCATGACTCCTTGCTGGACAAGTTTCGAAGTGGAAGGGATGGGAGGGGAAAGGAGAAAGGGCTAGTTAACTAATAATACCTATGTCATACATGGCATGGCACGGACGAGTAAGAGAGGTAAGGGGGAGGAGAATAAGATGATGGGAGGAAGGGGGAGGGGGTTTGCGAGTAGACTAGAGAGATAGAGAGAGCGGGCGCATGCAATTGAGAAAAAAAAAATCGCTAAAATATGGAAAAAAATTGCGCACAGCATCACTCATGAGGGTGGGCAAGAAAAAGCAAACCGGTTCCGTGTGGTGAGAGGGCAGCTTTCCCCTCAGCCCCGGCCGTGTGGTGTTGTGACTGGAGTTAAAATACAGCTAATGGTTGGTTGGGTTGCGCCCGAGCCCCAGCCAAGGTAGGGCACTGGCTTGACTGATGAGGGTCCTGTCCTGCCCCCATTCACACTCTAAGTACGACGTAGCACAATGAGGTGGGTGTAAAAAAAATCAAAACCGCCCAAATATCTGAGAGGGAGGTGACGAAGGATAAGTGTACAGTGCCTGTGGCTGGCCTTGGCCCATCCTATGCACTGTCCGCTGTGGCCGCGTCTGGTGCGGTCTTCTGCAAGGGCTAGTGGCGTGGCACAGTGCGTAGATCTGGGCAGAATGCTGTAGCTCGCTCGGGGGAAGGCGCCCAAGTCCATTGGAACCTTGTGGGCGGAGGGGGAGGAGGGGGAAAACTGTAGCTGGGTGAAGCACGCCGTAGCCCGGAAGGCAAGGCCCATAGTGTCGGCTACCTCCACCACTGGGTGCCCCTTCCACCCTAGCCCATATTACCTCCGCTGCCCAAATTTTTTTTTTGTAGCTTCCCTCATACTCCTCAACCTCTAGGAACCACGCTGGTCCGGTGGAAGAATTATCTCGCCCGGCCCTCTCCTTCCCAGTCCTGCATCGGCATTGGACCTTTTCTTCTTCTGTTGTTAATTTTTAATATCAGAAGAGAATCTCCTCTCTGCCTTTTCCCCAGAACCGCCACGCGGATTCGCATCTTATCAAGTCCTGTTCCGTCTTTTTTTCTTCTTTCTGTGACAGGAGAACGCCACGATCGCCTCGTTTTTGGCCTTCATTCACTTGATATCACTTTAGAGACCGACTCTTCCATAAAGAGCCGCCGTCCGCACTTTTGTCGCTCTCTTTCGCATTTTCGCCCCTCCTGGTAGTTGTGCGAACTTTATCCGTCTGCCCGCGCCACCAAAGAGACCCTAAGTCTCTTTTACGTGCTTCGTTTGACGCTGACTAGAAAGTCTTTTAATTCTTCAACTTTTTCTCGTCCTCTGTTCGCTGTTGCCAGCATCGACCGCTCCGACTTCACACGAATACCCTTATGACGTCGTCTGCGAACCAGCAGAACTCGGTCTCGGCTACGAACAATACTGCGACTGCGGTTCCTTCTTATGCCTCTGCTGCAGGTGTATTGAAGAAGTCTGCATCTCAGTCGCCAGCTGTCATAACTGGCTCCCAACCCCCTGTGGTCGTTGGATCTTCGGCGTCGCCCGCGCAGAATGCAAAGCCCGCCTCAACTTCTTCTCTGAACGGCAAATCCGCCGTCACTCCCGCAATTCCAGCTGTCGCTCGAGGCAGCTCGGCCTCCAACGGTAACCACACTCGACAGAGCTCCGTCACCATGGCGGCAAACGGCCCCAACAGCTATATATCCAACGGCGGTCCCGTCGGTGGTGCAAAGTCTGGCATTCAGTTCGGTTTCGATTCACCTGCCATGGCTCATAGCACTCCCCAGACCGGATCATCCGCCCCTATCCCAATCCCTGGCGGCAACGCTCGAGTTCCCTCCCCAGCGCACTCTCCATCCCCGATCCCACAGCCATCCGCAAGTGGTGGACGTCCTCCCTCCGGCCTTCAACAACCAGCCAGTCAGATGACTTTTGGAAGTCTTAGTAGCGATGGCGAGGTAAGTGATCATTATGACAACTGACACGCCCATTCTCCATGTTCACCGAACTAACTTGAATCTAGCGCCACATGAGACAAGGCTCGGTTCCTCCCAACCCTGTTACGCTCGGGGGTCAGCAGCCTGGCGCTCACTTCCGACGAGAATCCAACCACTCTGTCCAGAGCGATCATGCCGGACGTGGTAACTTTACACCCCAAGCCGGTCGCGGTCGAGGTTTCAACCCTCACAGCAGCTCATACAACAACCAGATGGGCTACCCGCCTAACAACCAGTTCCGAAACGGACAAGGCCGTGGCATGGCTCCTTCGTTCCAACCGTCACCCCGAAACATGTACCCCAACTCGCCTCAGCCAAATCGCAGCCCTCTGCTTGTGCCATCGATGCCTGGAACGCCCAATATGCCTCCTGCCAACATGCAGCCGAACATGTCCATGCAGACCCCTCCCCAGTACCATTACGCGCCCCCGATGCCGCCCCAACATCAACAAGTACAACTCCCCTTTTATTCTTTGTCAATCAAAGCCCAACCTTTCAAGCCCTTCAAGAAAGTCAAGTCCCATCGTGAGAGCGACAGACTTCATCACCAACCTGGACGCCGGTCTGATTCTGTTCGTGAACTGTGCAATAATGATTCCAACCAGCCGAATCGCCGTTCGAATAGACGGGGAGATCATTCTTCGACTGAACATGACCTGGACAGCACACTTGCAGTTTCTGACGACGCCAGGAGAAAACCCCTTCAACAAACCTCCCCTCCTAATGCCATCAACTCAACCGCATCAGCCTCTCTTGATATGTCACCAGGAAATTATGAACATCTTTTGCTAACTATGAAACGTCAGAACTTTGGCTTCCCGCCTCAACAATTAGACCAGTATGGTCGCCCGTATGGCTACAATATGCCATACATGCCCCCCCCACAAGCTAACTCTCCAGGCTACAACCAGACCTTTGTCCCTCCACCTTACCAACAACCAGTTCACAGCATGTCGAGGACGCCCTCGCAGCCTGAGAGACCTTCAAGTGCCAACCAACAGGCCCCAGCTGTTGCCATGGGATCAAGCAACAAATCAACGACGCCCGCTCAGACCAATTCAGCATTTGTCAAGCCAAAGAAGGGTGCCGCTATCCCCATCAAGTCCCTCAGCGGCGAGGTTCTCGATACCACCAGCTTCAAGGTTCCTCTGTCCCCAGCCCTTGGCATCCAGCATACCAAGACGCCTCCTGTTGCAGCCTCTACGCCTACACCACCACCAAAGTCATCTACCCCAGGCCACTCCCGCACTGATAGCGCCGCAGCCCCCAAGACGGCTAAGCAGATCCAGGATGAGCTCAAGGAAAAGATTAAGCAGGCCACTCTGGCCTCCAAGAACAAGGAGGAAAAGCCTGCAGCACCAGCCAGCCCGGCTCCAGAGCCTACCCCCGAGGCCCCCAAGAAGGAAGCAGAGGCACCCGCAAAGCCCACGCCAGCACCCGCCGCTGCTGACGTGCCTAAGAAGGAGGAGCCCGTGCAGGAGAAGGAGCCAGAAAAGCCATCTGCCCCAGCCCAGGAAACCCCGGAGGAAGAGATGGAGCGTATCATCCGTGAGATGGAGGAGGCTGATGCCAAACGTGAAGCTGAGGAGGAGGCTCATCGCGTCAAGCGAGAGGCCGAGAAGGCTGCCGAGAAGCAAAAGGCCGAAGAAAACCGAAAGGCAAATGCTGCAGACGAGGACAAGAAGCTTCGCGACCAAGAGCGTGAGATGGAAAGGCTTGAGGAGGAAAAGGAGAAGAAACGCCAGGAGGCAGAGAAGTCCGGCAAGGCATTTTCAGTCGCAGATGCCTTGGCAGGAAAGGCTGCTCCCAAGGAGGCCGAAGGCTCCAAGGTTGATGCCGTCACAGACAAGCTCGCCAGCATGAAGCTGGCTGGCGAGAAGGGCGATGCGAAGCCCACCACCGCCGAAAAACGTGGTGCGAAGCCCGCTGCTCTCAACCTGGCACCTCTGATCACCAAGCCTGTGGAACCTCCTCAACCCAGTGCTGCTCTCCAATCCCTCAAATCTGCACGCTTTTTGCAGATCATGGATCAGGAGATCTACCCAGCCGGCATTCGGTCCCCCAACCCAGCTCTCAATGCTGCTGTGGCAAAGAAGGGGAAGACATTCAAGTATGACGCTAACTTCCTCATGCAATTCCAGAAGGTCTTCACCGAACAACCTTCACTAGAATTCCACCAGCAAGTCAAGTCTCTGATCGGGGACAATGATGGCAGTCGTTCTGCCTCTGGCCGCGGGGCTCAAACCCCAGGCTCCGGAAGACAATCTTCTCGTGGAGGTGGAGGCGGCTTTAACATGGGCGCTTTCAATGCTCCCATGCGCCCAGCAGGCTCTACATCAGCAGAGCGATTCCAGCAAGCTAGCGTGGGTCGAGGATCAATCACTCCTATGAATTCTTTCCAACGCCCTGGAGGTGCATTCCCTATGTCATCAGGCATGGGATCACGCACACCTTCTCAAGGTAGTGGCATGGGCCCCTCTTCAGGTTCTCGAACTGGCAGTCGAGCGAACCGTAACAGCCGACGCCCACAAGACCAGTCTGCCAAGGATGCTAAGACCATGCCTCTCACAGCTGGTCAGGAGGTCAAGCCTATTGCCGTAACTTCGACTGGTTGGAAGCCAACCAGCATTGGACGGGGCGCCGCAGGAGGAGGAGCCGCATCCTCATCTACTCATCTTGACCCTGAGATGGTCCAGAGAAAGGTCAAGGCTGCCCTCAACAAGATGACTCCGGATAACTTTGAAAAGATCTCCGACCAAATTCTTGTTATTGCTTCTCAGTCTAAGGATGAGACCGATGGCCGAACTCTGCGCCAAGTCATCCAACTGACCTTTGAGAAGGCTACTGACGAAGCCCACTGGGCCTCGATGTACGCCAAGTTTTGCAAGAAGATGCTTGAAACAATGAATCCTGAAATTCACGACGAGCGCATCAAGGACAAGAATGGCAACGTTGTTAGCGGTGGCAACCTGTTCCGCAAGTACCTTCTCAACCGATGCCAAGAAGAGTTCGAACGTGGCTGGCAAGTCAATCTTCCTGAACCTAAGGAGTCTGAGGAGAACAAAAAGCCAGGCGAGGCTGTCATGCTTTCAGATGAATACTACACGGCTGCTGCTGCCAAGCGAAGAGGTCTCGGTCTCGTGCAATTCATTGGTGAATTGTACAAGCTTGGTATGCTTACTGAGCGCATTATGCTCGAGTGCGTGCACAAGCTCGTGGACCATAAGGGGGTTCCAGACGAGGCCGAGATCGAGTCACTATCCAAGTTGCTGCGCACTATTGGAGCCAACCTGGATAGGTCTGAAAAGGGCCGCCCAATGATGGATGTTTATTTCGATCGTATTCAACAGATGGTTGACTCTCCCGATCTGGCCAGCCGAATGAAGTTCATGCTCATGGATGTTTTGGATCTCCGTAAATCCAACTGGCACTCCAAGGAGACTAACAAGGGCCCAAAGACGTTGGAGGAGGTCCGTGCAGAGGTAAGTTGTGGCTTCATTCTTCACACTTTAAAGTTTATCTAACATAGTAATTAGGCCGAGGCTGCTCAAGCTGCAAAGGCTCAGGAGAACGCAAGGAGCAACCAGCGCGGTGGAGGTGGTCGTCCGGCCATGGGCCGCGGTGACGCACGAAACTTCTCTACCGGAAATTTCCAACAGAATAGCAACCAGGTCATCGGAGACGACCTGAGACGCCTCAAGGGTTCCGCCAACCGGTCATCAAGCGGAAATGTGACCCTCGGTCCCACATCGATGTTCTCTTCACGCAGCAATAGCGGCCGACGAATGGGTCCTGGCGGAGCGCTGGGTAGGCCAGGTGAAGACTCTGGAGCATCGTCTCGAACGGGAACCCCCCCGGTTCGGGAAAACTCATCTTCAAATGCATTCAGGTTTGTCCTCGCCCCCAACATGTTGTCTACTCTTGATATAGTGAGTGCTAACAGCGTCATGAAGTTTGCTTGCGAACATGGATAACGATCACCCGGCTTCGCCTCCGTCAACTGCCGTCTCACCAGCGATCTCGAAAGCTGTCCCTGCTGGCGACAAGAAGGATGGCGAGTAAAACCATTTTCTCATTTTCGGTGTCATTGAATTTCGGCAGATAGACTCGGCGGGGCTGTGTTTCTTGCATTTACAGGCCTTTTTTTTATTATTATTTCCAGACGTGTTCCAAAAGTTCGCGCACGCATTTGAACCATGATACCTCAGCCCCAATAGAACGACTGAACAGATGACTTCTCGGAAGAGAAACAATGGGCATCTTCCTATATTGATTTCGCGGGGGGTACGACCTGACTAACCCCGATACCTGGATCATTGATCGCTCATTCATCAGTGGCATACTATACTACTGGTCTGCGGGGCAATCTTTTATCATTGCGAAGCCACTGAGCTATATTGCATCAATGCTCTTGCCAAGCTACTGAAGAATCATCAACGTCTTTTCGAGCAAAAAAGAAGACCCAAAGGATCAGATGATATATAAAGGAGAGGGAAAACAGGGAATCAGGTCCGGGGGAGCGGGGTTGGCTGGTTCTGGTGTCGGTGTCGGTAGTGGTGATACTGGTTCTTCGTGATACTGAGTCGATCTCGTTTCATGAGCTGCCATGTGGGCTCCTTTTTACCTCATTTATCTGCCCAGCGTTGAAAACTCGCCGGCTTCTCTTTTCGATTGGACTCTCGATCTTTCCCCCACCAGATATTTGTACTTCACCATGACAGCGTGGAAGCTGAGAAGGAGCGCACACATCCGGTCGCCAACGGCTGTGTATGCTCTCTTGTTGGACGTTCCTGCTCGAGTGCTGTGAATGGTGGTGATGATTGACAAGTGGGGAGCTTCTTCCTGTTATATTGTACATCATCTAATTTGAGTTACGTTAGGCACGGTGGTAGTAGAGTAGAGCAACAGGGGAAAATTATATACCTTTTCTGTCATGTCAACTTTTCCATATAATTGTGCATTGAACATTCGCGTCCAAGTGCTACGGAATATCTTGTTGACGGGTTCACAGCTGTTGTAAAAACCCCCCTGTACATATTTTTGGACCCTACGTTGTCATCGTAAAACTGGTCGAGTGTAGCTCACAACATTGCCTCATATTTATTGCAGAAATAATTAGTTACCCAAACGCTCCAATACCCATCCATTCTCTAACTCACGCCGCAAACCCCAGGTTAGCCTGGCTTGACAAAACAGAGGCACCTCTCAACCCAATTATTACAGCGGTGAATGTGGTTCATGTCCCGGAAAACGCCAACTTTATGTACACATAGACCCATGACCCCTATTCCCATCTTAGGGACCAGCAACGATCTTGTTGAAGCCCAATTTCGCAAACAATGTATCCATAGCAACCCACTGGCGACCACATTTGTCCAAGTACTTGTCCACCACGCCTTTGATGGTGGTAAAGCGTACACGGTTGTGCTCTGCCAAGGTGATTATCTTTTCGCGGTCCTCGCTTGTGGCAGCCTTGACGCGAGCTTTGTCGACATCCCAAAGACTAGCAAAGTAGACGAGCTGGTTGTAGATTGCCTTCTCGCTATACTCGTAGCGCATGCGGCCCAAGCAATCGCGAGCGAGGCCCTTGGGGCCGAGACAGCGGTTGCCATAAACGCTGGTCTGGCGGGTGCGATTACCGCATTGCGAATCATCGCACACGAGCCAGGCCTCGTAGTAACGCGAGGTCTGGGTGCGGATCGCATGCTCAACCTGCGCAACGATGGACAGTGTAGAGATGGCACTGCCACAGGTTCCACAGACAACGCCCGAGGCAGAGACACAATCGGAGCCTCCGGCCAGACCTTCGAAAGGAGTGGCGGATTTGCACTTTCGGCACCGGAGGGAAAGACGTTCACAGTCGCCGAACCGGACCTCATCGGGGATCTGGGACTCGAGGGGGTGAACCTCCAAATCGTTCCCTGAAGCCCCTTGCTGATTCTGGACTGAAGCATATCTTCGGACATCTAATCCTAGTTGCTCTGCAAGCTGTGATGTTGAAGTACCCGCGATATTTGCACACAGACGCTCCACAGGAGGAAAAATCTGCTTGGCAATATACCACTCGACGTCAGGTAGCAGCTCGGGGTTAGACTTGAGGTCTGCGGGCGCATAGGCGCGCTTTGGGGCTGGTTCCGAACTCTTGGAGTCACCCGTGATAATGTATGAGACCACGTCGCCCTTGCGAACAGCTTTGCCACGCGCCATGTCACGCAAAGCGACCTGCACTTGCGGCATGCTATCGGCATTTGGATATTCCTTTGGTCCCTTTCCTAGCTGCGTGTACACGATGTACTTGGCATTTGGGATACTCTGCTCTCGCATCTTGCCAGCGATCTCGCGAAGATATTCGTGGATTCGCACAACCGAAACCTCTGTTTCATCGCCAGACAGGATTTCATCAAGCAGGTGCTTGGATACCTCCTTCGACAAGGCGCAGTATTCACGACGTCTCATGTCTAGACCCTTGATCTCCATCTTCTCCACCCACTTGCCATCCTTCTCAACGAGGTTGATGGCAGCATATTTTTTCTTGGCCTGCAGTAAGATCCGTCGGAAGACGTTGTCGATACCAATCTCGAGCAGTTTGAATTGGTCATCAACCAGCTTTTTGAATGCGTGGCCGACCTTGAAAGCGTCTTCAACGTTGTCAACATTGGCATTGATCATGACAGAGTCAGTGTCACCGTAAATGACCTGTAATGCCATGCTTTCTGCGAGATCCTTGGTGCTTCGGAGAATCTCTCGGCCCTTGAATGTTGTCAATACAGCAAGAGGGCGAGCATAAAAGCGCGACTTGGTGTATCCCAAACAACCGTACATGGAGTTTGCAGTCAGCTTCAAAGCCAGCTGCTTGATGTCCCATGTTGCGAGTTGCTCGGCGGTCGCACTCTTGTCCTTCATGAGATTCTTGACAGCACGACGTCTGTCAACCAGAGTGGTAATCAGTCTAGGAAGGATACCCAGGTCTTGCTGCTCTGGTACATCAGGAACAGTTTCTTCTTCATCATCGGCACCTCGCTGGAAAAGTTCACCGTTAGCACAAAGAAGTGGACGCCTATAGGAAATGCTGGCCAGTACTTACCAATGATTTCCGCTCCACCGTTGTAAAGCAGATGTTGAATTCTCGAATGATGGAGGGATAAAGGGAGTTGAAGTCCATCACCAGGACAAACTTGTCGTACAGGCCCTTTTCGGGTTCGAAAACCAGACCACCTTTATACTTGTCCTTCTTCTTCCCGTCGGCAGCGTCATCCTCGCCATTTTCTTCATTTTTCTGACGGCCGCGAAATGTTTGTTTGTCGGGGCAAATATATTTATTTCGGTGGAATTCATGGAGCAAAATGTACTCGTTTCTTTCGGCTCGTGTTCCAGTCAATGTACGAGCCCAGGAGTTCCCGGCTAGGTTGGTGAGAATCTTCGTCAGGGGGAGTATTTGGACGCCGACGGCGAGGGCCGCTATGTAGTGCGTGTCAGCCTCCATGTGGGTGATGTAGTCCATCAACCCTTGTTTTTCTTTTGCCCAGGTGTTCAGTGCCACCTCATTGTCAATTTCACGGCGATGGTTGTCTCCGGGCAAGTAGAGGCTGCACATCTCCGTGAGGCTCCAAGATTGACACTTGAACATGACAGATCTGCCGGCGTCGTTGGCAAGATCGCACAGCAGTCTTCCAGACATGAGCTGACGTTCAGCAAAGACGTTTCCACCGACCTTGGTGATCGAGGATGGCCATTTACTTCGTCTAAATCTACCCAGTCTGGACCACTGAGGCGTTTTCTTCTCTTGCAAGCGATTGACGAGAACGCTATAATCCACACCTTCCAACTGATGACCGAGGATGACATCGGGATCTGCGACGTCAACCTGGGCCAGGAAAAAGCTGAGAATCTCTGATTCCTGCCTCTTCAAAAAGATAGGACTCTTGCTTCTCTTTTTGGCGAGCTGCTCAAATCCCATTGGGAAGGATTGACCATTAGGGCGAATTATGGTAAATGTTCGGCAGGGCAGCTTCTCGGCAGGCGTTGTGTCGTTTAAAGACAACTTTTCGTATATTCTTGCACTGATTGCAAGTATTTCCTGCTTGTTACTGGTTGAGTTGAAACATGTGCGCAAAGCAAGACTCATTACCGTTAAAGGGGGTTCTTCCATGCTGGTCGAGGTGTTGACAGTGATCATATTCGGATGTGAGGCCTGAACTTCAAGCTTGCAATAGGAAGCGTTATGCAGAGCCCCAAAATCGGCATCCTCAATCTTCAGCCAGCATGGCCCCATGATGTTCTTCCAAAGAACAAACTGTTCGAAGAGCGCCGTGTTGCTTCCGAATACACGCGAAAAGGTTTGCCCGTGAGTTTCCATATCAATCGGTGAATCTAAACGGTTTAGCGATACACGAACTGGAGTTAAGGTGACAAGTTGAACTTACTGGTGTAAGGATAGAGCAACTTCATATACTGGGCCTCCTTGGGAACATTAGGTAGCTCGAAGGCATATTTTCTGGTACAAGCCTTGATCTTGTACATATCCACTTTCATTTTCGTCATAATCTCGTCAACTTCGTTATAAACATCCATGATGCTCACTGTTTCGTCAGTTTCTTGGTCGCCGCTTACTCGGTGCTCGCGAGGAAGGAAGTATAGCTTCCGCAAGATGTTGTCAACTTTCACAAAGCAACTGACATAAGAGTTGGTCTTTTTGTTGAGAACTTTACCGAACAAGCACAAGCTGCCATTCACTTCGGTGTAGTCGGTCCAGAAAAAGTTCAGGCTACCATCTGCCTCGACTGCATCTTTGTGGTCCATTTTCCCAACGGTTCGCACTTCAGATGGCGCATTAACCACGTTGAGTTTATCCGTTAGACTGTTCCAAGACGATGAGTCCACGAGCGCCTCAGCAGGTTTGACAGAGGAAGGACCGAGAGGGGATGAGGTGGGCTCTTGTTTAAGGACCTTCTTCACAGCCCTGGACCCGGCTATATTTACGCTCGTAGCATTGACGGAACCAGCATGGGCAACTTCCATCATATCATCGTCTTCTTCCTCTTCCTCTATGGGTTCCTTTTTTATTTGGGCCTTTCGCTGAGCGACTTTGGCCGCTGGGGATGACGGGGCAGGGTCGCTCATTACAACATCAACGGCGGCTGGAAGATCATCGTCGACTGCAGGGGGGAGAAAATCCTCCCCATCGCTATCGTTGGCAATTCGGCCTGGTGAAGATGCTGAGGGTGTGTGGATAGTCTTTGTCTTCTTCCGGATGGGCTCTAGAGCGGGCGATAGATCCCTGGCTTTTCGACGCTCGATAGGTCGTTCTGGCTTTGGTTGTCGAAGGGCGGGAGAAGGGATGTTCGTGTCTACCTCTCCTAGTAGGTCTGCAAGGAAATCATCGTCTGCTTTGGATTTGACCACCTTGGGTCAAATGTCAGCCAGGGCGCATGGTTCCGGTTTTTGTTGTCCATTCTCGTACCTTAGGCTTTGATTGAATCTTGCCAGCCCCTTTTGTGAAGTATTCCGTGATGTCTCTGTCATTTGCATCACGCTGGGCTTGCTCTTCTTGACGGGCTTTCTTGGCTAAATACATAGTTAGTACGGGTCCTCCTTGGTTTAGCAAAGATTGGATTTGTATGACATACCAGCTTTGCTTGGTCGGCCACGACCAAGAGGCTCCTCATTCTCGCTGTCGGAGTCGTATCTCTGAACACGATCCCAATCTTCCCTGCCGTCGTCGGCGTAGCCTTCGCCATTATCATCGACGACGAAGTCATCCTGGTTCAGACGATCTCGAACGAGCTTCTTGTAGCCATCCTCGTCCACCTCGTCGAAGACATCATCGACCTCTGCAACTTGATAATTATCGAACGCTTTCTTTCCGGACTTGCGGAGTGCTCGCAGCTCAGCGAGCCTCGCCTTGTGGTTGGCTTTGGACATATTTCATGGGAATTGTACCAAACCAGCTAAAGAAGAAAAGGCATAAAAGATCGTTCAATTCGGAGGGGTAGAAATGGTTGCTCGACTGTTGCGGTGGATGGACAGTGGAGGGGTGGTAATTAAGGTCGTAATGTTAAACACGCTTCTCGAAAAGGAAGACGCGTTTCTGGTGGTGTCGCGTTCGCGACGCCAATTAATTAAGGCCTATTACAGAGTGCCCAGCGCCCGTTAGCAGTAAGAATACGTCAGAGCATGTGTGGGTACGGAGAAGTGGGTCAGCATTGCCATAGCTATGCCTTCCCTTAGAGCTGCCTTCGACTAACGTCTTCTTATCTCGGGAAACGAATATGATATAAACATGATGAAGATACTTGCACCAAATATATCGGGATGCTTAATCCTGCGATCATTTCTTGGAAATAGAGAGCGCTACATCTGTAAGGGACATGTGGAGATGAACTCAACTCTATAGCGTTGTGCATCATTCGAAGCTCGATTGTCGAGTGATCTTACCTAGGTAGATAGTATCATGTGGAACTATCCTGATTACTGTTCATATGCCTTTGTTTCAAGATCCAGCAGAAGTTAGTCTCATCAATCTTCCCCCTGAAGCTCCGAGAACAAGGTGGAGGTCTAGAGCAAGCATTGCTTAAAGCCACAACACGCAACAAAAGCAATGGCTGTTGCGTGGGATTATGTTTGGCACAAAGCATTTTTATAGTACGAGAGCGCTGCCAGTTTCTCTACTCCAAGTAAGGTAGAGTACAATGAGCAAGTTGTGTTCAGTACCTGCAATTGGTTACCGTAGGTTACACGCTTCAACTGGTAACTTCCTCAATTGTGAACTACCTTGACATTTGTACTCTGTCAAATATCTAACCTAGGACCTTGCCTCAAGGATTAGGGAGGTGCTATGTACTGAGTTACAAGATGGGATTTCTGTGGGAGGTGGCTCTCTCAAACAACCAACCCGCTCCTTCCCAGTGGTGACAGGAAAAGGGCTCCAGATTGCCTACGTAGGTCGTCTTGTTCCTATCGCAACTGCCTTATTCTCCTGTATTTGTGGCGGTCTAGTGCCAAAATCAGGCCATTTACAATTCCGCCATTCTCAATGTCAGGTTGCATTCTTTGTTCATCACTTGGCCTTGGTCAGCCAGAGTCGCTTCTTCATTCATAACCATTCTCGCACATCAATTGATAGTATCATGTTCTTTGGCTCTTTGAAATCAGATCGACCGGTTGTGGGCCGTAGATCCTCAGGTTTCGTCTCCAAAAGGTTCTCTAGCTGGCGACTGCCGAAAGTGTCGTCCCACCCGCAACCCGAGCACAGCAATGAGGGATTGTTAGACGACTCTTTGGAGCCAAATGAGAATGCGGGCGGCCCGAAACACGTTCATAATGATCGAAACTCAATGTCACGAGAGTCTCGAGGTTGTTGTCCTACTATTCTCTTACTTACATGGGACATTCCTGGCGGCTAACCTTCTCTCCGCGTAGGAGCTGCGGTTTGGCCTCGCCGTCGAAAGAGTCTTGGCAACGTTATGCAAACTGTGAGAGCAAAGCTATCTCGCAGTGATAAATCATCCGCCGATTTCGAAGCATGTGTGTGGACAAGGGAAGAGGACCCTGGCCAGTCTTATGCGCTTCCCAAGGTGCAAGACGACTCCGACCAGACGGCAAACATCCAGTCAAAGACTTCTCAGTCTGGGAAAATCAAAGTTCCGCAGCTTGAGGTATTGGGTGGCCTCGCGTGTGGCAATCTTACTTCTTCATCCACCTTCCGTGATGGGCTTGAGCGAGCAGCCGATGACATCAACACCAAATATCAGATTGAATCCGCTACAGCTACTCGTAATAACGAAGCATTCTCGCAAAACAAAGCCTTCGAACTGGCAGCTCGTGGATATCGTCGCATCTTTTCCCCTTCTACATCAAGTTTCCGCCGCTTACATGGCAAGAGCTCCGACAGTCAAGGTGTAAAACATCACCAAGTTGACGCTCCTTCTGAAACCAACCCAAGTGACATATACAGACTCTCTTACTCAACCAAGGTTCCAATCGATTGGCTTGAAAAGATCTTAGAAACATCCATTCCGCTTCGAACACCATGGGATTGCAATGAGCCAAAACTTTCCGAGATGACAGATTTCGATCCCAAGTCTGTCGATATCGAGTCCGCCTCAGTAATCAAGCATGAGCTTTCGTCTCACCCTCCGGAATATGCTGGAGCGGCAACATCTGTGGCACTTCTGGGGAAAGTTGCGAATAATATCATCGTTCCTGTCTTTGAAAAAGGCCTATCACCAATCCCGTAGGTTTCGAGTCCGGGTCGCACAGAGATGAACATGCCAGGCATTCAGCTGGACAGAAGTAACACAATACCATAAAAAGGCCGGATGGAGGATCGAAATCGCGTGAGCTACCTTAAAAACAACCAAGCCTTTCTGCCCACTTGACCATTTTTTTTTTGGCTCGTTTAGAGAGATTGCAGGCCCAAATTACGAGGCCACCGATAAATGTCGAGAGAATATTGCTATGAGGTGGTGAAATGGAAGGGACATTATGGTCTGACTTATGTGTCTACTATCGTATTAATAAATTCTAATTGCTTCGTTGTCAGAGATGCGTCATTTGCCTCGTTCAATGTTCTCTACCTAGTGTTGTACAATGCTTTGCTCGCACCCTCGAAGGCCGAAGCTGCTCTAATGATACATGTTGATACAGATGTCCACGAAATTGAAGTCGTACGTGGCCAGTCATCTACCTACCATTCCTCCCACGGAAGTTCCTTCGAGAAGTTTCCTGCGAGCGTGGTGATTCACGTCTATATGCAGGAGCGCTTTGCTTTAATTCTTGCTGCTGCTTGAATTCCGTAGATTTGGTAGTGTCCCAGATGAAGTCGGCGCCTTGTTTATCTTGGCCAGAGGCCTTGTCATCGCCGTTTTCGTCCGCGCTCTCACCTACAACTGGAGAAGTGCGGGCAAGCGAGGTGCCATGCTTCGAGAAAAAGTCCTGGATGTCGCGATTGAGCTTTGACGCAATGAGACGCATTTCCTCCAAGTCGTCGTTGGGCAACATTTTCTCGTTCACAACTTTATTGAATGCGCTAAACATTTGCCTGGCAAGGGCGACAATCTCGTTCTGAATTTCGAGCACGCTCGCCTCCCTTTCTTTGTCCTTGGGTTTGATCACTTCGAAATAGTGATGATGTACCTTCTGATACGGGCCCCAGAGGCGATTTAACGCCTCTGTCAACTGAACACCGTACAGCCGTTTGGCTTCATCCAGCTTGTCGGCGGCAGCCATCTTGCGGTAGCGAAAGTGACTGACCAGGGCAACTCGCAGGTGGAGGCGAAGAGTTTCGACATCGGGAATTTTCAGCTTCTTGAGCATCGTTTCCAGGGCCACCGTGCTGTTCTTTATCACGTTTAGGTTGATATTGTCGCGGACGCAGGCTTCCATTGCAATGCGACAGTGTGTGGGGTTAAAGATTTGTTCTGGTATGAGGTCCAGAGTATTGGAGGCATGGGCGCTCGCTTTCGCTACTTTGAGCAAACCGAGCAGCCGGAACCAGATATCATTGTCGGGTTCTATCCCGTAATGTCGGACCAGGAGATTCCAGTACTTGATGCCTGCCGTGTTCTGCCTTGTTGAGGCTAATACTGTCAAGACCAGAGATAGCGTCTTGCGTCCGGGTACCGCATATGCTGCATGTGGAGTAGCATGTACTGGCTTGGTTGAACCGGTCGCCGCAATGTTTCGCATCTTCTCGTCTTGGTGAGCATCAGAATTTGGGGTTTTGACTAGATTCGGAATGCGCATGGTTTGTGTTAGAAGGTCGAGAACCTCGTTGGTGCTATCTCGAGGTAAGGCCATGTGTAGCAAACGACCCATGGCGCATACCAGCTCTTCATCAATCTTCAGGGCACCATCGGACCACTTGTCTATCACTTCAGCCCAAATATCCTTGCCACCACTGACAAGCTTTTGAAGCGATTCGGCTTTCTTCTCCGGCTCCGCGTCCTTGATCTCATCCATGGTACTGAAACGTAAGGCATTCAGAATTGTGGTATATGTGAGAGCATCTGGCGTTCGGCTGGACTCATTGATGGTGTCAACGATGCGGAATAAGGCGTCCATATCCCCAGCCTTAGCGCAGACATTGATCGCAGCATTAAGATGGATAGAATTCGACTCGACACGATCGCCTTTGATTAACGAGTTGTACTGTTTGACAGCTTCGGAAACGGCAAGTTTGGTGTTGGTCTGTTTAGATAGACCCCGGAAAATGACCGTGTAAGTTCTTGAGTTGGGCTGTTGGCCACGCTTCTTCATCTGCGAGGATGTTAGTTAGAGGAGGGGTCGGCGAGCAAGGGTAAGAGAAGACCAACGTCGTTGAACAGCTTCATGGCCTCCTTTATCCTTTGTTTCCCAAATTGGTAGTCGATGAGAAGGTTCCACGCCACGACGACCTGCTGCCCTCTGCCAACCTTTTGCACCAGCAGCAGTGCCTCGTCGAAGGCGTTTCTTCTCAGCGCCTGTTCCACATATTGCCCAATCTTGTAGGGGTCCTTGCCTCTCAGATACCTCATCTGTTGTTCAACGATATTTCCCAGCCGCTCTGCCGCCCTCTTCTGCGCAATCGAGGGCGTTGTAGGAAGCTCTTTGAGCTCGCGGGGTGTATCGATGGGTCGAGTAGTCAAGAAGCGCCGTGGGAAGACGATGCTTCCGCTGGGTAAAAGTCGAGCCTGGCCATATTCGAGTCCAACAATGGGCGTACAAAAGCAAGCCGCGCACGACCAAAGGCTCTTCTTCGGTAACATGTTGTGATGGGTATTGTATTAGCCAAATGTACGTCCGTCTTGCTGGCCTGGTATGTCGATATCACCACAAAAAAAAATCCCTTATCTTATCGGTTAGCCAAGCGCGCGGAATCCACCTAGGGCCCCTGGACTTAATGGAAGGCCTGCTTCATTGATGTTGATACCAGCATGATATTGTCGGTAAAGTAGAATAAAAAGAGCAATGTCATTTAATTGATTCGTCTTCAATAAGCACTGCCTCATTTTCTTCCGTTAGTAACAAGTAAAGCAGCTGTGAGTATACTTTATTTTTGGGGGCGATACCTAGCCGCGTGCCCCTGTGAGATCTACGCGTATATAACCCACCCGCAAGTTGCTGCGCGACTCGTCCCAAATCAAACAATTCAATAGTATCGTCAGCACTTAACGTCAAGGCATTCTTTAGCCACAATCGATATTCGACCTCATCCTGACCAAATACTAGCGACCCGTCTAGGGCTTCCTCTTCAGTTACCTGGCTCGGTTCCATCTCGAAGGACCGCCGTTGCACCAACACTCCCTTGAGATCAGATACCAGCCAACTCTGCAATTTCCGTCATCATGGTCAAACCCGCCAACGACCTCCAAACTTTCGTAAACAACGGTGCGCTTTAGCCCTGGATCGGCGCGTCTCCGCTCTAGCTAGCATCAAGTTGCTAACCGCCGTTATTTCTTGCAATCTCTAGCCCGCGAGCGCAACAAGAACGAGGCACTCGCCTCCAAGATCTTCGACAAGAACCGCCGCAAGAGCGCACCCACCAGGCTTAATGCGCAGAGCGGCAGCGGCTCCCTGGCGAGTCGCATCAGTGTCAACAAGGTACCCAATTCTTTCGTGCCTACGCTGCCGTACGCCGTCGAATCTACATTTACTAACAATCGCCCTTCTGTATCAGCGCGCATCGCTCGGTGGCAAGAACGCAGCCCCCAGACCCAAGGGCGATGTCAACGGCGAATGGACACACGACCTCCACAGCACCGTGAACCCTCCCAAGAAGTCCACATCCCTCAGCTCCCGCATATCGAAACCCGGATCGAAGACTGCCCCCCCGGCGGCGACCAAGAAGGCCACCGCACGTCGCGCCGCCGCCCTTGACCGCATGGACGTCGACGTCAACATCCAGAAGCAGGTCAACGTCCGCTCCCAGGGCATCTCCATCCGCGGCATCGCCGGGCCCTTCACAGTCGTAGGCCAGAACTTTGCTCCTGGGACCACGGCCGCAGACATCGAGAGCGTTTTGACGCCCTTCGGCGGGCACATGGAATCGTGCAAAATCGTCAAGACGAAGCCATTTGTCGTTGCTGAGATGGTGTTCGCGTCCAAGGAGGGCGGCGACCGAGTCATTGAGACATTCAATAACAAGACGGTATGGATCAACCCCCTCCCCCTAACGCTTCCTTCAGAGACTCATTACTGGTATTTAGGCCGACGGTCGACTTCTCAAGGTGTATCCCAAGATTGGCGGTAACAAGCCTGCATCAAACCAAGCCAACACGAATGGGCAGGTTGTTGACGGGTCCATGGGCTTTAGCGAATCCTCGCAGCCGCTCTATAGCGATAGACTTCTGAACGGGAACGAGGGGAGAGGCCAGAGAAACCGAGGCAGAAGGTGAAATGACTCCTGCCGAGACAAATATTCTCTTTCTCTCCCGGAGCCTAATCAACCCATTTGTGTTTTTATTCCATTTCCTTGCTGGAACAAGCATCTGGTTTCGGACATGTAATTATACCTTTCTGCTGCTCTTGCGTTTTGCCTCGTCTGCCACTAATGGACATTGGGTTGGAGTTGGTCTTGTGAAGAGCGGAAAAAGAACAAGCAAAAAAAAGAAGGAGTCGGCTAATTTGGCGTTAAGGTGTAACATAAGGAGTAAACATGCCGTGGCTAGTGGGTGAGTTCTGATTTTCGACATAGAAAGATTCTAGCACGAGGAAGAGCATCAGGAAAAGCCAACCATACTTTTTCAGGGTTGTCAAGTCGGATTCAAAACGATTTGTACAAGAATGGTGGGGAAAAACGATGCTATGCAAGGGTCGTTGTCATCCGCACGCAAGATATAAATCAAAACAAATAAAGGTATCATATCTACAACCAATGCTACATTTTGCCACCTCGTGTCCGCTGGTCACCGCTGTCTGTGATCTTCTGATGCTCACAGGGAAGTATGGGGACCTCAGCCTCCATCTTCTTAGAAACTTCTGCCGGTGGGGGGGGGAAGGAGTTCAATCAGTTCGGCACGCCTTATTATAGTGAAACGAAATGGCGAGTGAGGGTAAGAGACAAGGAGGGGACCACCAGCTTCGACGATTCGGAGTCCTGAAGTTCTGTATATCGAGTGTATAATAAATACTCTCGTGGCTGTCACGTTCAACCTCGAGCTCGCCCAATGTCACATATCGTCTCCACCATAATCCAAGACTGACGATGATATGTGATCTCGGCTCCAGACAACCCAGTGCCTGGCTATGTTGAAGGCCGTCAAGTTAGCCTGGGTCTGGAGCACAACCATCACGTAGAATCATGCCACAGTAAATAATTCTCGGGACCGCGAGCCGCATGTTGGGACTGAAAGCCTCAAATGACCGTTTCTTAATACCCAGAAACGTTCCGTCTAGACCGCGCCGAACGTGAGTTTCAATCTGCCCTCAAACTCCGATAGCTCGAGGTTAAATATCCTTCTCCATTGGATCAAAAAAAATACTGTTAAAATATCTCAAAATCAATGCCATGGATTCTGATTTCCCATAAAACCTTCCTCCAAAGTCCGTTCTTCCAAATTCCGGATAAAGTCACGATTACCCCTGCCACCCTGCTGAGCACGGCTGGTTCGCCGACTGGATCCTGCCGCGGCCGCAGCAGCAGCACCACCATCAGCTGGTGGCGGGTAGTAAGCAGGGCTTGGCTGGAGGCGAATTGGCTGACTCGGGTCGAGGTGACTGGCAACCCGCTGGATGGCTGCTGGAATCCCGCTCTGCTGCTGTTCCATGGTCGACGCGCGTTGTCGGTTAGGGCGCATACCTCCTTGCTGATACATGTTTGGTTGAGGCATGTTGGCATACTGGGACGAAGCCTGCATTTGTTGAGGAGGTTGAGTCATAACCATTTGACCATATTGGGAGGGTTGTGACCCGTACGATGGCGGCACATTGGCGTGGTTGCCTCCAGGAGAATATACTGAATTGTTGCCATACATGGGTGGTTGGGCATGTCCAGACTGAGGATACTGTTGACCGCCCATGGGGCCATACGGGCTCTGTGCCGCTGAATTTGCTTGAGCTTGTGCTGCCTGAGCACGTTGCTTGCTGAGCGCCTCGGCTTGCTGCTGCTGCTGAGTGCCAGGAGCAGGTGACCTATTAAGGGAGCTTGACTTCAGGTTCATTGGAGGAACAAACGGGCCGGTGAACTTCTGTTGGGTAATAAAAGGATGAAGCTTAGCCTGTTGGGGGGACCATCTCTCCAACGGGTTGATTGTAAGTAAGCCTCGCACAAAGTCGATAAACGCGATGCGATTATTCATCTCTATTGAATTAGGGTCAGTATCAAGATGCCTCAATCGTTGAAATAGTCGGTGATTTCATCATACCTCTGTCGATCTCACTTTGCTTCATGTTCTTCCTGGGCATTGGGTACGACTTGATGATCTCCGGGAGAGTGTTGGCCTGGAAATACCGCTTGCTAGGCTGCTCCTTACTGTTGTGTTCCCGTGCGTACTGCTCCATACTCTTCAGATGATAGTTTCTTCTTCCAAACTCGTCTTGCCTCTTCTCGAAGAATTCGTTGGCTTGTTTGCCCATTTCCATCATCCAATTGGGGGGGTTGCCCAACATCTCGACAATTCTCGAAACTTGGTTGTATTCAGAGGATCCAGGAAAAAGTGGCAGGCCCAGGAACAGCTCAACAACGATACAGCCAAGGGACCACATGTCGATGGCTGAAGAGTAGGGAAGGCCTAGCAGAACCTCGGGAGAGCGGTAGAACCTAGACTGAATATATGTGTATACTGTCTGTCGCTCATCGCAAGCGGAACCAAAGTCAATAATCTTGATGATAGGGCTCTCAAGATTCTTCAGCAGAATATTCTCGGGTTTCAGATCGCAATGAATCAGACGGGCCTTATTGAGAAGGGCTAATCCGTTGAGCAACTGTTGGGCAAAGACACGGACTAGCGTGGTGCTGAGGCCGCGGAACTGGTTTTGTTTGATAAGCTCGTATAAGTTTACGCTGAGGAGCTCAAACACAAGACAGAGGTGCTGTCTATGAATAAATGTGTCCTTTAGCCGTAGAAGATGATGATCGTCGTTCTTATCAAGCTTGGTGTTCAGCTATAACGCGAGTGTTAGCATTGAAGACGGAGTTCCAATAGTACTCAGAGCATATATCATACCAAATCGAGAACTGATACTTCCATCATGCTCTGATTGAAATAAGCCGTGCGGTTCTTGATGACCTTGACAGCCACTACCTCCTGGGTCTTGAGGTTTTGGCATTTGACTACCTGTCCGAATGTACCCTGGCCCAAAACGTCCAGAATCAAATATCGATTCCTAGATATTGTGAGCAACGCAAGGTGATTTAGAGATATCCCTTGTAACACTTACTTGTGGCCTGCCTCTTCTGAACCAAGAATATCGTTAACATAGAGGATGTAATCACTATCCTCGTTGTCGTACCCATCGTTCTTGACACCCTTGCTTGGCTTTGTTAAAACTCGACGAGGATTGCGCGATGTCTCATACTTGAAGTCGGGATTGCAAATTCGGTAGGTCGCAGGGAGGTGAGACGTGAGCGCTTGAAGAGGCTGAAAGAAAAGAGTGAGCGAAAATGGATACTTTTGCTAGAAGTTAAAGTAGTCGACCTACACTAATGAAGCCTCCTTCAGGGTTGGCTCGGCGGAAAGGCGGCTGATTGCTCGTCTTGGGTCGCAAATCAGAGGGCCCCCGCACCTTTCTAAACTCGGGAACAGCGACTCGAGGTGCTGGTGCTGGTGCTGCAGACATTTGGCGGCGTGGTGACTTTGGATCGGCTCCAAAGAGTGCTTCGGGGTTGGAGGCGGCTGATGAAGGGTAGCTCTGAGAGGCTGACGCGTATGGGGTTATAGGCGGCAGATGCTGGCCTTGCTGGCGGCCACCGTAGTAAGGGCTCTGAGAATAATCGGCCTGCTTCGAAGGAGACTGTCTTTGGGCTGGCGGGTTGTTATATTGGGGTGGTTTTGACGTGTATGGGGAAGAGGGCGACAGCGTGTCCATGGGTGAGTAGCGTTGGGCGGCTGCGGACGGCTCGTGGGAAGATTGGAGGTTTGAGGAGCGACCTGCCGATGGGTGAGACTGGTGATGGGGCCTCATAGGATACTTGATCCCGGCATGAGCATCGTGGGCATCGTGCATGGGAATGTCGCCATTGCCGTCGCTCAAGTGGGAGGAAGTGATGGGAGATGGCGCCGAGCCAGCAGCGGCGCTGAGTGCACCTATCGGGGCGCCTCCATGATACGGTTGCTGATCGTACTTGTAGCTGGATCCAGGCCCAGCTGGAGGGGGGTTCTGCCGCTGCTGCGATGGTGCATGGTCGCGCGGAATCTGCTGGTGCTGGGCATTGCCGTTGTGCCTACTCGGGGCACTGGCCGAGTCGCTGTACGACTGCCACTGGGGATCCATGGCGACGGCGGACGATGATGAGAGAGCCTGGTCAATGGTTGCTTGTCAATTGAACCAAGGCTGGAAATCGTCGGCGCTGTTTACGACTCGCCTCGGCGACGCCGGCGGCAGCGTAGAAAAACACTCTCTTGGCGTGAGGGCGCCGTTGTGGTGGTGATGATGATGATGATGCTCGTCAATTCAATCGCTGTTGTCGGCAGGCGGGGAGAGGGGCAAAAACACCTCGTGAATAACCTCTACCAAGAGGGCGACAGGCCAGCAAAAGCCAGACGGTCGACCAGGTGAATAGGACTAAGTTTGTTGGCGCGGACCACCAGAAGCAGTCGAAGCAGATGGTCTGCGATCAAAGCTACTAGGTGAGAAGCAGGTTGTGGTAGTAGGCAGGTCGGGACTGGAGGAACAAGGTGGGCTTGTGATTGGAGGCTGCGACAGTGGAATTGGGCACCTGGCTTGCGAGCCCAAGTCCCCGTAAGCCAGCAACGAGGCGAGGGCAGGACGCAGCGTTGCTCCAAGACTCAGTCAGAGCTGTCCGTTCTTTACGGCGGCGACGCCTAGTGGACCTGGGTGCCTAAGGTGGCTAACCAGGTACCTGTGGTCATAGTGGATTATTAGTGGGAGGGGCAGGAGAGCAGCACATAACGCGGATTGGGTTGGCTTGTTTGACTTGGGTCTAGACAGCGTCTGCTTCGAGATACGAAAGCATAAAAAGCATAAAAGGAGAGAAAGGGAAAATTCAGAGGGGGCACTACATTGAGTTTGTGCTAGAAATTCCAAATACTCCAAAGCCAGCACATCACAACACGGCAGCTCGGGGACAAC